ATGAAACAGTATAGACCTCTACGGGGGGTACGAAAGCCGTCCAGTGGCAGTTCGGGTGAAAGGCTGTGAAAGATTTACGAGCGTTTGAATTTGACAGATATCTTTTATTAAAGCGACAGATACTGAAAGCGACGAAAGCAAGCGCTCAAGCATATTAAATTCAATTGTATCCCCGCCGCCTGGTGAGTGTGTTTCTGTGTGTGAATGGGTGTGTTTGGGTGTGCATGTGTCGTGGAAAATTTAATAAAAACAAACCTCAATAGAGACGAGGCGATATAAAAAGAAAATCACATAAAGACGTCATAAAACACGTTGCGCACTTCAGCGCGTTTTACCACACTGGCAAAAACGGCAAAGCGAAATTGTGCAGCACTGCTGCAGCACAGGGTCATCAAAATCGGACACAAAGTGCGGCAAGTGCATTCAATTTGCTATCAATGACGGCAATACAAAAAAAAAAAAAATGAAAAAAAAACTATCTTCCTCCTCGCACACTCGTTTCAACACTTTTGCATAATGCGTATCAATCAACATTAGCAGAGAGCAGAATATCGTGCGGCGCTTGTCTGGGCGCCTAATTAATGAAATAATTAACTTGCAACTTTTACTTTTTGCTTAAGTGCTTTCCTAGCACTTTCCACCCATACACTCACCCACATACACGCATGCAAACAATTAATTTCATCAGCAACAATAGCAAACACAAAGCTTGAGTAAAGAAAATTAGGCAAGAGCAAATTTGTAGCATATTTCAAGACACGGCCTGGCATGAACAATTAAGTCAAGGTCGCATCTGGACAGAAAACATGTGCAAAGCTCTATAAAGCGGAATCAAAGTTTCCTTCACTTAATATTGCTTAGCAAACAAAATGCTTTTGAAGTTTTTCCAACACTTTTACTTTGCTCACAAGGAATTTGGTACAACGGCGAATTTTATGTGCTTAGTGCAAAAGGTAAAGTATTTTTGGGCTAAGACACTTGACTATTTCTATAATTTTGTTTATATATACAACAACCACTTAATCTATATTTTAATGATTTAAATAGGAGCAAAACTGATGAACAAAATACAACTTTTCTAATAGGAAAACCAATAAATGGATATTCGACAATATTTGTTAAATTTCCGAATTGCCCCTACTCGAGTTTAATCAATCATTTACAGTGACCCATCAATAAAGTTAGAGCATACGAAAAGCCACAAGAAACAAATATAAAAATCCCTTAGCAAGCGAAAAGAAAATCGCCTTAGCACAGAGAAAGGAATCAGCACAGCTTGATGAGTGCGTCAGCATAAACAGTTACACACGCACACGCACGCACACACGCACACACGCACACACACGCACGCACACGCTCTCTCGTACGCCAAAAACAACAAAGCAGCAGCAACAAATAAATCAACAAATCAAAGAACTTAACTAAGAAATAAACGAGTCTCGTCGCGGCGCGCCGAATACAATGAATTAGCCAAAGTATACATAGGTTAGGATAGTAAGAGAAGTGGTAGACACAAACATGTGTAGAATATCAGCAACACGCCACATATGTATACGTAATTGTATGTATATGTATACGTGCATATATTTATACATTGAAAGTAGCCTGACAGCGCCATGAGTGATTAACAGTGTTGGAAACGACGACAACGACGACGACGACGACGACGATGAATTCCACAAGCGGACGGAGGTAGGAGAAGGGGCACGAATCAGCTAGTGCCCCTGCCAATTATGGGGATTAGCCGCAATGGTGGCTGACTCTCTGTCGAGTCTGGCCTGCAGCCCGGCGACGCCGTCACTGGGACTGGCTCAAAGTTTTGGCAGCGATTTGCGACGCTTCGGCAATTAGTCAAAAGCAGTTAACACGCCCTTAATGCGAACGCGCTGCGTCAAAAGTGTGTCTAACGCATAATTTATTGCCGAGCACTTAACAGGGTACTACAACAGCATATTTAATCTAATATAATATCTGCTTGCAAATAGAATGCGACCACAAAAACATATTCAAACTAGATGTACATTGAAGAAAGGCTAACGGAGCTGCCATTGATGCGATTCCCTCAAGCTTCTCTTTATTGCTTTCTTTCCTTTTATTATTCAACTCTTTTCCCCTCAAACTCTTATACCTCACCATGACAAAAGAGGTGGCTTTGACAAAAAGGGGATCATTTCATAAACAGTTTGTGTACCGCTTACATTTTCAACAGCGGGAGAGGTGCAGCGGGTAGCGTGCTGCTGCACAGATGCGTGGTGAATAAATAACTGCAATAAATACACTTTCGCCTTGTTTTTAACAGTTTTTATAACTGCAAAGGCGTCATATGTATTTTTTGTGCCTGGTTTTGTTTTAGTTTATATTCAATTTAGAAAAGGGCACAGTCGATTTCTTATATACATGATAAAATAGTTTCACAAGAGCTACTCAAAGAAGAATGTGTGTACAAATTTATATAAACGAATGCATATGTTGCCTTGTGTCTTGTTAATTCACAGCTGATTACAGAGAATTTCCTAGTCATGCATTTTAGTCGAATATCACCACTCTTCATCAATGGACATACGCATAAATAGCAGCAGCGTGTACTCACCTCAAATAAGTATGCTTTCATATCACACATAATTATATATATTCATGTTGCTTCAGCAGCTGCACTTATCGGTGGTTCGCCATATTCTCCTTTACTTCATGCCTTTTGTTTTTTCAACACGCTACAAAAAAGCAAATGTTTGTCTCCCTCAGACGATTGTATTGTTATTCGCGAGCAACAATATACCATAATTATTATATTTAGTAATTTTGTTTAATAATTTAAACTCTGTTTAAATTGCCGCACAACCAACGCTCGCCGAAACATAATAAAGACTAATGCTTAATGGCTGCTTATTGGCAGAGGCTGGTGATCTCCACCGTGGTGAAATTACACATTTAATTTCCCCACGGCCGCTGCAACTAATCCACCTCTGCTTAAGCTAAGAAACTTGACCTGTCGCTCCCACTCTCGCCGCATTGTGTTCTCTCGCCTTCCACGCTTTTGATTTACACTTTCGCCATGGGTAATTTTGTCACAAAATTATTCCTTTTATACTCTCGATGTGAAAAGAGTCTATTAGATGTTCGTTTACTTCTGTCCATACTGGAAACTACCCAAGCCCAACCAACTGATGTAGACGGTAATTATTGTGGCGTTTGCATTTGTTAGTTTTCTTTAGAATCAGAAAAGCGCTCAATAACAGAAATGTGTTTAAAATCAAAGAGAAATCCAATTGGGAAATTTGTAATACTCATTAGTTTCGTGGTGGTTTCTTTTTCACAGTGCGCAAAATGAATTGCATTTCGCGAATGGCGCTCTTTGCCGCTTTTGCATATCAATTAACCCATTTCGGCAGAGACGAGCCAATTTTCGAACAGCGCCCCACACAACACTCCAAAAATCAAAGCTCCGCACAGGAAAATTAAAAAAAAAAAAATCCTTACCCATTCGGTAGCCGCTGCTCATTGCCAATTAAGTTTAATTGCCCGGCAGGCTAAATGGCTCCGAGCCAAACTACTTGAAATATGCATACAAAGTGAGCGCTCAAAATCGCAAAAATGCCTTGGGCCCCAGCCCAGAAAACTGGGGCCTGCTCTGGATGGTTGGGTGTTTCGAAAGAGGCTGAGGCCCATTTAACAATCAATTTATTCCACAATAATATTGCTTTTGTGGCCAACTCTGCCCTATCGACCCGCTGCAGTGAGGTGAACGCCAACTGAGGGGTGCATAAATTCATAAATGTTGTTGCCACATTTCGTTGCATATTCATGCAATTATTGAGTGCAGGCCGATGCGATTCCGATTCCGATTCCGTTTCTAATTGGGCTGATTGAGATACCCGGAGCATGTTTTGTGGCAAATATAGTTAAATATTGTGCAAGTGTGGCACACTTGCAATGCGATTGCCAATTGAAAATTGCAACGAGTCCAATTGATTGCCGCTCACAGCATTTGGCTTGCGTACACTTTAAATACCCTGTAATTACAGAACTCCCAATGAGCAAGAGGCTTAACAAATATTTACAATTATTTTTGAATACTTGACTCGTTACTTGACCGAAAACTCTCGACTATTGCTTATTATATTTATTCTGAATGGACTGCGACTGCAAACATACCCTCTAAAAACCAATTAATTTATTAAACTATTTGCACTTTTTCAGTAGAGTTTTCATGTTAGTTATATCTAAATATATATCAATATGTACCCATTAGATACAGTTTTGCAAGCTTGGTTTTCTACCTAGTCTCGAATGGAAAAACAAACGAGAAGGTTTTAATTCTTGGTAACAAATTTAAAGGTCCTGGCTCAAATTGGTTCTTTTCAAAGCAAACAGAATACTCAATAAATGCAATTAAATTCCTTTCCATTTTTATTATGTGCATATATTAATTTTCAGTTATTTATGAATAATGTTGAATATGATTTTGATTGATGCAATTAAATAAAAACTCACCTGCCTTATAGTATTTAGTTGCATTCTCTTAACTGACAAATTTGAGATCCATTTGGAGCTTACGCAAGTGCCGTCTTTAGCCGATTCGAAGGCTTCTGAATTTCCATTCAGTTAGCTTGAGTCACGTTCGCGTGTTTCGCAATCGGCGAGCGACTCGCAACCACAAAGACACACACGCACACACACACACACACACACACACACGCACACTTGCAACAAGCAAAGGAAAATGGCAGACACACAGTATTTACTTTATATATATACCAAAAGTATATGCACATGTATTTACCCAATGCAAAAAATCAAATAAACGTGCATGCATTGCAGTTGCATGTGTATGTGCATGTGTATGCGTATGTGCATAAATCATATGTCTGTCAGTTGTATATACATCCCAACATGAACGTAGTGACACGTGGTCACGTAGCTCATACGCACTGTTGCCAGTTGCCAGTTGCCAGTTGCCAGTTGCCAGAACAAGTAGCTCGCTAGAAAATTTAATATTTGCGTTTGACTTCAGCTCTTTTTAATAAGAAAAATACTGGAAGATACTCGTACACAGGCTACAATATAAAACATAAATATTATATGTATAAAATATAAAATCACATTTGACACACACGAGCGCACAACTACAAAGGACACGAACTAACTAAGGCACAGAAAACAAATCCATTTGATCTCAAATTATAAATGATAAAAGTACTTAGGCAAAACAATTAAATACTTGGCATAGAACAACCAGAAATCCAATGCATTTGTAGCCAGACAATTCAAACAGCTTTACTGTAGATCTCTAAGAGCTTGCCACAGCGCTCAACGGGTCGCCTTTGTGCAGGAGGCTATGGAAAACGGAGCTCGGCTGTTGCTGCAACTGCCTTGGATTGCCATCCTCAACGACTTGGCCCTGTTCTAGCACTATAATGCGTTCATAATCCAGAATGGTGCTCAGGCGATGCTGTAAATAAAACAGAAAACAAATAAACAAATCTCTCTGAAAGGAGCAGCCTCTATCTAATACGACTCACAGCAATGGTTATAATTGTGCGACCCTGGAAAGCCTTGTCCGCCGCCTTAAGCAGCGCACGCTCCGTGCTGCTATCCAGAGTACTTGTTGCTTCATCCAGGACCAGGCAAACGGAGCCGCGCAATATGGCACGTGCCAGGCAGAGCAATTGCCGATGGCCGGCACTAAAGCTGATGCCGCCATCCGTGATTTCAGTGTCTGCAGTAGTCGCAGGATGCCAGCAGCAGGCAACGCCATCAGGTGGCCATATGTACAAAATATAAAAGAGCAGATTTTAGTGCGTAATTAAAGTTGTATTTAATAAGCGTGACGTTATGGCCGCCCGGCTAAGCACGCCTTTAAGCCCTAACGAGGCGTATTAAGCACAGGTGAGACGTTCCAGGACGACTACCTGCCCCAGCACCGAGGCAGCTAACATGAATGTGGACGCATGTGTATGTGTGTGTAAGGGAGCTCTCCTTCTGTTTACAAACTTGACTTAAGTAATGCAATAACTTGAAATGGTTTACATCTGACTAGAGTTCAATAAAAAATCAAGTTTCTCATCCTAAACTCATTCATACAAATTTTTGACTCAACCCAATTAAAAAATATATGCAACAGTTTATTAAAAGCAAATTATTTCAAAATTCTTCAACAAAATTACCCTTAAGAACATGAACAACCCATTTTGGGATCGATCTTTTCTTATTCTCTTAATTTAATATCTGGGTAAATTGTCATTTAATCACTTCAATAAATCATTTTATTGTTCTTTTTATAGTCAACAAGATTTAGCTGAGTTTCCGGCTGATGTTAACTTACAAATGATTTAAGAAGGGTTTTAACGGGATGATAATTCCATCAACTTCAACTTATTTGTATTTTGCGCGTTTATGAACTCTCCCATTGGAAGAAATGAAGGATCTGAGTTATAAGACCTAAAGTTTAGCTTTCATTTGATCGGCAAATTCCGTTTACGACTCAGCAATTTATATGTTTTTTTTTACCATCACTTAACCCAGGCAGAGATAAAACTAGATGATTTACCCTACAAAATATTGTAAAGGCAGCCAAGACAATTAGCCAATATATTGTCTGCCCATATGCCAAGGACCTGCCCAGAACATGAAGTGTGTCATGTTTATCTGTTGGTATCAGCTCAAAGATAAAGAGAAGCTCTTGCTGTTTGAAGGCGAATTAATATAGATTTGAAAAAAATCGCAAGCACAGAACCTTTTTGAAGTGTACGTTACTTCAGCTTTGACTAAAATATCAGATAACTGCAGCAGCTAAGTCAGCTGTTGTTTTTTTTTTTTTTGCTGTACTTTTAACTGTAACCGGGCTCGTTTAGCGCGCAGACATAATCCTAAATTCCGGCCCGTTCGTTTGCCACCAATTGCCTTTTATATGTTTGCATAGAGAGGCTAATCAACTTGGGTTGCCGCAAAAATGCTTGATGGATAGATATATTGCTCATGTATCTGCATACATGTGCCACATGTGAGCCAATCAACACAAAAAATCAAACATGCATGAACTTTTCTTTTCGTTTTTTTTTTTTTTTTCAACAAACATCAAACAGACAAGTTGGCTGGGAGAGACTGGGATTCGGTTAGCGGGATGATAAGGGGCTGGCTGAAAAGCTGGCGAAGCGGCCAAGCCAAACGTCATGTTTGCTGCCAAAAATAAACATGATTTTTTCATAAGGCACCAACACAGCTAGCAGAGTCAGTGAGCCGCAATACACAGAACTGACATTCAGTGTTGGGTTCTTTACACAACAACAACAACAACAACAATGTAAACAGTGTATAACAAATGGTGATTTCGGGGAACAAAAAGCATTGCAATATGTGTACGGGGAACTGCACTTACCCAGACCCTGAGGCAGCTGCACGTTGACAAACTCCTTGAGCTGCGCCAATTCGAGGCAATTCCACAATTTCAAATCCGAATAATAACCATGCGGATCGAGATTTTCACGTATTGTTGCATTGAACAAATGCACATCCTGTGGTATTATCGATAATCTGGTGCGCAGCTCGTCTGGCCGGATTTGCTCAATGTCCACATCATCGATGCGAATATGGCCACTTGTCGTCTCCAATACAGCAAACAGGGATAGGGCCAGCGAGGATTTGCCGCTGCCCGTGCGGCCACAGATGCCAATCTACAAGAGAGAGAGACAGAGAGAGAGACAGAGTGAGAGAGGGAGAGAGAAAGAGCGGGTGTGAGAGAGGTGGCGAGAGAGAGGAAACCAAAGCGAGCAGTCAACTATATATTGGTACACAGTAAAAAATCTTGGTGTCAACTAGGAATTCAAATTGAAAGGAACTCCAAATTTGTTTTAAAGAAATTTATAATTATTCTGAATACCACATTTCGCTTACATTTAAAAACTGTGATTTCTTTTAATTAAAAAATAATAATTTGAATTTTTTATTATTTTGGATTATTTTGGCATTGAAATTGAAATGAATTCCAAAATAGAAAGAAATTACTAAGAATTTTAACAAAAAAAAACTATTTGTAATGAAAATATTTATTTTAATTACCCAAAATAATTTCTTTTTATTTTAAGAATAATTTCAATTTTGTATTATAAACAAAAAATGGTTTTCAAAATCAAATTTGTTCCGTGTGCAGTAATAGGTAAGTAACATGACAGAGGAACAGCTGAGAGTGCTGCATACATCTCGTCCTTATTTGAAATTTAAAAAAATATGTTTGTGTAGCATCATCTAGTATCTGGTTCTTATATGCATTTGTATGTTGCGAATGTATTGCACGAATGTATTTGTACCCGTTAACCGTGAAATCAAATTCAAATAAAATATGCTAGGCTATCCGAACGGAACCAGCTGTAGCCCCGGAGCCTGCACTGTATTGACGAGCTGTATCGATTTTGAAACATACAATACATGTTAAAGTCTGTTTTCGTAATTTCACTTCTAATTAAAATACTAAATGTAGTTAAGGGAAAATATAGCTAGCCATAGCTCGCTGCACTGAGATGAGCCCAGGCTTTGCTTTAAATTGTGAAACGTGAAACAATGCATTTTTAACTTGTTCATTTTGTGTACATTTTGCAGTAGGATATTTGGTAGAAAATTCTAATATTTTAAAATTTTACATCCGCCATAAAGTATTAGATAATCGCACCGAGCTACATAAAACTTGAAGAAAGAATATTTAAATGACGCTTAAAATTTCTTCTTATTCAGCTATTGGACGAAAATGAGTTGTTTAAGCGGATATTTTTGTAATTTTAATAAAATGCTCTCAAATAAAAATTAATATTTTAATTACGCGCTTAAAGAACTTTAGCTTAGATAGGTTTCCCAGGATTATGATACTTAAAATCAAGATACTGTGTTAAGGCTAAGGTTTGTTTATTTTACTTTCTTATTTTAATGTGCAAACCCATAAAAATATCTTTAGAAATAATAGTTTTCATTTATAGCACACAATTACCAAATTGATTTGCAATGTCCCTTTTTTTTTGTTAAGAAATCGCTTTTCCAGTTTTTCCCATTTAAAGCGTGAAAAAAATAGTTACAGAAAAAGCAGCGAAATGTGTTGTTAAATCACTTTTATATCACAAAAAATCACAGAGGCATGCAAAGCATTTTACTTATCTGCAGAAATATGCAAATTTCTATTTTAGTGTGTCACTAAATCAAGTTAAATAAATACTCTAAACGTTGCACATTTGGAAATCTCATCGAATATTCGCAGCTCTGGCGTGAAAAGTTCGTATTGTTCCGTACATATCATACACTTAGTTCTCAATATTATAATACCATATATCTAGCTAATGCTAATGCATCTAGACCTCAGTTTGAACATTTCACCGATTGTGAGCATATATCACATGTGGATGACAGAGTACTCACAATTCGTTACTCAACACTCTTTTATGGTTTTTGCAATGTATTCAATATTGATTTTTCATATATTTTATATATTTCTGCATTGAATATTTATTTTGTTTGAATATTGTTTTTAACTACCTTCTGACCGCAAATGTAGTTGATGTAAATATGGAAGCTACTAAAAAGCACATTTTTTGTACAAGTAGAACAAATCAAAAGTCAGGCTATGACATTCGAACTAAATAAATAATACTTTAATATTTGGATGATTTTTTTTTTTTCGAAATTCAGAGTTGAGTGTTAAGTTGCGTTGAGCTGAGTAAAATATGAACTAAATGTTAATTAAATATATTTTTTTTTTTCGTTTATCCAAAATCCGTCAGCTTTGTTTACGAAAATATTCTCTGCCCTTTTGTAGAATACTGCTCATTTAGCCTGTCTTCTTGTTATAATTGCCTAACGAAAGTAAAATCACTTTTGATTTTATTGCTATCACAGCTGCAGACATTATCATTTAAGAAAGGAGCTATTGATAACTGCATCGTTCCGTACATATGAATATCACACGGGGTTAAAAATACTGACCCAGCTATTTGCCAGTTTGAAATGAGTGTCAAACAAACAGGCTGGCATGTTTATATTGAGTGCTTATTAAAAAAAGACAACTGACATTAGCCTGTTGTAACACAATTTCCTTATTCGATTAATACCCATTTGCAGTTGCAGTGACATAAGCTATTGCGCTCCAAGCCTCACACAAGATCGACTAATGTACACCGTAGCATATTGATAATGGATGTGTCCATCTATGGATGGATGCAGTTGTATCGCTGCTTGCTGTTTGCTGAGTTTTCAATCAGTTGTTGACCTTTGGCAATGTCTGGCTTTCCTGGCTCAGACCCGACTAGATATGTGTGGCTTTGGTTAGTTTGCGGCCAAAGTGCACACTCTGGCTAAAATGGGTGCTGTTACAGTTTGTTGAGCCCAGAGGTTGGCTTCTTGCATCTTTCATGCGATTCCATTTACCGCTCGCATTTCTGTCAGATTATTTACCGGGCTGACCACATTGAACCGACAAACTTGTTTGGGCTGCCATGGTGACAGCCAAAAATGAGGCAATTTGAAATGTACTCACCCGTTGGCCCGCTGGTATCTTCAAATTCAGATGGCTGATAACGTTCTGCCTTTGTCCTTCATAGCGCAGGCTAACGTTCTCGAAGCTGATGTCGCCGCGATGTGGCCAGGAAATTGGAACGCTTTGGTCTGCACCAGAAGAAGAGCAAAAACAAAAGCAAAAACAAACAAACGGATGGTATGAATAAATGTAAACAAACGCTTATATTAAATTTAAAACCAAATCAGCAAACCATGAGAATTGTGACCTTTTCGCAGACACAGTATTTTGTGCCCGCAACTGTCAGTTGAAAATGTTCTCAAAAATGAAAGCTAAAAAAAAAAAAAAAAATTAAACCAGCTAAGCAAAAAGTGATAAGGGCTCGAGGCAAGCAAAAACTTCATGAAAAGGGTTTTCCAGATCATAGCACACATTTAAGCGCAAGCTTTAAAAGCCAACTTTTGCAAAAACTCCCAACTAGTTTTCAAGTGTGGTCAGAGAACTTATCCCAAATGACACCGGACTAAAGAACAAACATATTTTCATTTATATATGTAGTGTTGCTCAAGTGTTTAATCTTTTGCACAGAAATTGCACAATTTGTGTATGATATTAAATATTGCTGCACGAAATCTTATGCTATTCAAAAGCAACTGAAGCATCAGTGTAAATACTCTCAAAAATACTCAATTTAATCAAGCTAATATTTTGAGTATATTCATACAATACAATCCAGACTTTTTGCAAAATAGATAGGCAAACACAAATTTATTATTTTAAATTTTTGGTCTGTTGTCAAAAAAAAGGAAAGGTGATAAATAAAAGTGTTTACTAGACAGGTAGATTATTTGACAGTCAGTCATCAAGCATGTAAAACAAATCAAATCAGTTATCGAACTCTTAAAAGCAAAATATCGACTGCGCCAAAATTGCTTTGATTTTTTTTGGGTGGAAATCTAAAATTGAGTCAATTGTCATTTGTTTCTTTGAAAATGCCTTTAGTCTTTCTTTGTGTAGACATTAAATAAATATAAATTTCACAAATTATTGCAAGAGACGCGATTAACACAAATTGTATCTAATTCAATTCCAGTCCAATTATTAATTCTGCTTTCTAAACATATTTATATGCAAGCGTGCTGTCAAGTTGTCGAGCTCCACATGAACATGCAGGGCACTTAAAAAATTGTAGTGTTCGTGTCGAAACAGAGCATGTTCCTAGTAGAAACTGAAAAATAACCGTTTCGATCACACATCACTGAACAGCTTTCGTAGCTGAATTCGATTAGTGGAGCAATTGAACTGTTACACAACGAATCAAACAAATCACAGTTCCAATCACAAGTGTCAAAATAGCACAACTAAACTCCAAAGTTTTCAGAATCAAACAAACTATTGGCAGTCGAAATAATTGAGAAAATCAATCGAATTATTTTGCGTTTGCAATGGTGCTGGGTCCAAATGAGAAGCCCACTGGCCAGAAGCTATACGTATCGGAGGTGCTGGGAGTCAAACGCATAATGAATAAGTTCAGTTACCTGGTGCTGTTGGAGGATCAGACGACTGAGCTGCTAACCTCCGAGGTAGCCAAGGAGCTATGTCCCAAGCAAATTATACATTTCTATATGAACAAGTGTCAACTGGACGGTGGTCAAATCCATGTACCACAACAATACAATATTGGTGAGCAACTGCAGCTCCATATACAGCTTTGAAATGACATTTAAACCTGCTTCTAGGTGCTTAGAGATGGAATCAAACCAATCCAATAATTGATAAGTAATTCTGCGGATCGAAATCATGTTCAAGTGCCAATAAAGTTCTTATCAACTTTTTTTTTTTTTGGGTAAAGCCCAGTTTCATAAATATTTCTGTGCGACTTTTCGTGCCGTTCAACTAAAGCAACTGTCATAAATCAATTGATAATCAATGAGCCATATAAAATGTGCCTGGCACATAATTGAAGGTGTCACACACACACACACACACACCCACACACACGCGCACTAGTACTCACAAGTTTTGGGACGCCTTGCTGGGTCATTAGATTTCGCGACCTTGTCACCAAGTGCCGTCATTCTCTTATCCTTAATCATCGACGTCGCCAGCTGCTGCCTGTCAACAACTGGCGCCGTGTGGAAGTTTAAGTGATTGCCGGTGCCGGCAGCTGCATTGGCTGCATTTAATTTATCAGCATCTCCGTTTGGGTCTCCGGCAACATCAACGACAGCTGACGTTGCGCCTGGGTAAACTTTGTCAACGGTAGTCGTGCAGGACGACCTATCGGCATCATTGCTGATTTCCGGATCGTCCTGTTCCTGCTCCGACTCGTGCTCATTCTGTTGCTGTGGCTGTGCATAGTGTGCAATGCGCTCGACCGAGCCCGCATACATCTCCATATCGGCCAAAAGTTTTACAACCCAATTAAGGTAAATCGGCACCAACAACGTGTAGTTTATGGCCAAGCCGACCAGTGAGGGTGTTGGTGTCAGTTCCTTGGGGCTGGCGCTTTTATTGATGGCATAAGTTCCTGACGTCGTCGTCGTCGTCTCCGTCTCTGACTCCAGCGTCATCCTTCCAGCTGCCTCCTTTGCGTAGCTGCTGCAACTGACGCTTGCCGTTGCCAGTGCCGTTACAATGGCCACAAAAACAATGCAGCCACCCAGGTAATCCTGCAATAAAAGAGTACGATAAGGAGAGGCAGTCAGAGAGTTACAGAGAGAGGGAGAGAGAGAGAGAGAGAGGTGGGAAGGAGTAGCAGCCATGATGAGTGCTTGTTAGTGTTGGCATTTTGGTAAAGATTTTTTCCACATGACTTTTTAATCAGCCCACGTGTGCGTGTTTGGTCTTTCTAAACGGATCCGTCAGCTCGTTTCCCGCCTGGGCTGGAAAAACTTTTTACACTCTTTCATCTTAATGAAAGTTTTACGGGGTAGCTGCCAAACCACAATTGAAAAGTTTTTGTTTGCTTCTTTGTGGGCAGAGACTGACGTTGGCTTGATTGCCTCTCTATATGGGAGTTTCATATACATATACATATATATATATATAAGCTCTGAACGACGCCCCCGAGCTGTTGCATTTGTTGCGCCTTGCTTGGGCTGCAGAACTTTTTGCGTATCGTCTGATTAAGTCCTGGCCACGTCGATAGTTCAAATAGTTAAACAATTGTTTTGATTTCCGTTCGATTTGAGGACCAATTAGAAAATAATAGATAATATGCCTCTATCAAGTCTGACTTCTCTCTTACATTTTAACATTTCAGTAGAAAGGAGAGATAATACGTTTAATGTTGTTTGATTTAAACGTTTTCAAAATAATACGGCTGAACATTTCAATGAATTATGTCCAACGACTTATAAAAGCCGACTCTCAGTCCTTTCTGTCTAATGATAAGCCAAGAAGACAAAGCCCGACGCGCCGAAGATGAAATACCCTTCTACTTGTAGCTTAGAAATAGACTTTTGTGTGCAAAGAAAACTTTATGGTGTCGAAGGCGTCCTAAAGTAGTTTAAGAGATTGTCTTTTCGTCCGATTCTTCCCATATAGCTACGTATGTAATAGCTCACATGTCAGTGACTTGGTTAAACTCAAGAATTCCGGGCTTGGTAAAAAAAAATCTAGATAAATATATTGATTTTTATTCAAAAACATAAGTTTGTGCGATTGTCCTATAACATTCTTACTACTACATTCTCTACTAAATGCCGAAAGTACAAAAAATTTCCATACAAGAACCTACTTTCCGATCGTTCCTATAGCCGTTACCGTACCTATGCAAAGGTTCTACTCAGAGACAAGTCCAAAATAGAACATAGAAACATGCAGACGGAAAGACGAACATGCATATATCAACTCTAAAATATATATACTTAACGGGTTTGGAAACGTCTGCCTTTGTTTGTTATATATTTCATGACAAAATGATAATGCTCTGCGCAAGGGTATACAAATAGAAGACACACTGATGACATTTGACACTAACCTTTCATAGTACCACTTGCTAGGCAATCATGGTTCATTAACAATTTCCTAAATATCAGTAAGCCAGCAGGTGAAATATTTAACTTTGCCACACTTGCAAGCTTGCACCTGAGGTATGCAATTTATGTAATGCTTGGGGCTTGTCCAAGGCGTCACTCCACGGCCAACATATTGAGAATTAATTCCAGGAGCTACAACTTAATATACACACAAGCAACTGTGTGTGTGTGTGTGTTTATGCATATTAGCTGACCGCACTGTCAATATACCCAATAAAGCAAGCAACCTCTTGCCCGGCCCACATGGCACAGTCCCAGATGCCACAATTGTGCACGTCAACACAATGTGCACCAATTTGAGCGCAATCAATGGATACTTTAGATCCATAACAGACACTTGAACACTGTAAACTGTAAACTCTACCTGCCCCGCACACCTGCCTTAGTCAAGCAAAGGCAGGCAGGACAGCCGGGTGGGCAGGCTGACAACATGAGTACTTATGTATGTTTGTTGTCGGACAGAATCCGGAGGGGCTGCTTCTATCACCTGTGTGGCATGTGCAACAAGCAACAACAACTGCAAGCTGCCAGAACTATCTGATATTTGCATCGGAACGCTATATAAACGAAAGGCGCGTCTGTCTAACTGAAATGCCAATTGAATTGAAACGCACACAAGCAAATTTTACAGAAATCAAATGTGCATAGCTGCCATATTGACCAGCACACACTGGGACCACAGCAGACAGTCTAGAGTGTGGACAGTGCAGATGGGGCCAAAAGGACTCAAAGGACTTACCAATGATATGCCCAGCCAACGGTTACTCGTATTCAGTATGGTAAACGCAATCGTGTTCGCCTCGAGACGCTTGAAGAGTATCTCGGTGAAACGTGCCTGCTGATTGTATGCACGTATTGTGGTCACACCCTGTATTGTCTCCGATAGATGCGATATGACCGGTGAATTTGTTGAATTCTCAATGCGCTGCAGCTCACTGAAATAGACAATTTGTACGTTAAATTGAGGGTCGTCGAGTGCATTTGGAAATTGCATTCAATCACCATTCTTTGCATTTGTGTATTGTTGTTATATACATATGGCAGGATCTAAGGAAAGATTTATAAAGATAGCTGCAGCCTTAAGATATTGATTTGCATTTAAATATCTTGTATCTATTTTTTAAAGCAAAGACATATTTAAAATTATTAATAAAATTGCTTTAATATAAATATATATGTATGAATGTATTTTATTGTGGAAAACTTTTAATAAACTATTAAGAATGCAATATTTTCAGAACTATTTCAATCAAATGCGTTTAAATAAATTGCCCAAACTACAAAACTCTTTAAAATGTTTGAAATGCTTTGCAAATGTTCTTTTAAATTATTTTTTCTCCAGAGGTCCAACCAACGAATGGACGACAAAAATCATGCTCCAGTCGGTTTTGCGGCACTGCTGCGAAAATTCAGTAAACTTTGTCTTCACAAAATGTGCTTGGAAGACAATTATAAGCCACAAATACTTAGATAGAAATCTGCTAATAGAGCCACTCGCACTATCTAAACAAACACAAAGGCACCGAGCCAGAGCGAGGGAGAAACAGGATTCAACTGCCAGCATCAGAGTGCCGAAGTCTATATACCCTTGCTGCCGAACAGGATATTTATTTACATCTATGAAAGGTAGATGTCGATTTAAATCATACGAGAGGATTGCTTGCTCTAGTTATTTATATATTAACTAGCCTGTGAGTGATGAATAAAAATAATAATTCAAATAATATTAACATAATAATTACTTAACACCTCATACTCGTCAAAGGGTTACACGTTTTGTGCGTTAATTTGAAATACTCTGCCACAATGGTATTAAAAGGTTGCCAACAGCTCAAGCAAAGTATTTAATGCAAAAATCTATTGTTTTTGTTGACAATGCCAAGTTCTGACCAAGTTAAACTGCCTTTGGCCAAAATACTTTGGGCAGCAAAACGTTGACAGCTAGCATACACTCGACTGGCTGTTTGAATAACTTTTCTAAACAATTCGCCCAGCCACAAATGCGAATGCTGCAAAAATATTAAAAGTTTGCCAACTTGCAAATAATGGTGGGCGCCTGGGGCGTGGCAGATGGCATATTTGTAACAGTTAACTCAAGAATTATGTAAGTCGCTTTGTCAGCATTACACGGAAATATGTGTGAGAATACATCACTTACCGTGCCGAGCACCTGTAGAACTTCTGGATGGCATAGTAGGCGCCGCAAATGGGCAGGGTGAGGGCCAGAAACCAGGGTGTAATGCTCACATTTATCAATATGGCGCACAGGCAGAGCAGCGTAAACTGCAGCAAGCGTTGGCTCGTTGCAGCGATTTTCTGTAAATGAAAATATATATATATATATGAGCTTGTATGTGTGTGTGTGTGTGTGTGTATATGGCCAGATGAGTGAACATTTGAGCTCCAAACAGCAGCAGCAACAGGAGCAGCAGCAACAGCATAGACAGAAGGCAGTCAGCCAGGTAGGTGGGCTCTGCGGCTTTTTGGCAGACATTTTTAAATGACTTTTGCTCGTTTGCCACACGAATTGACAAATGACTAAATTTGTGTATGCCACAGCCTGCCCCCTGCTGCACAACCGGACTCCATTCTGGCCTGGCCCAAAGCCTGTCGTTTGCCAAAATTAACGAGAACGACTACCTAGCCATTGAATGTGTAGCCCGGCCGGCTCACGTTTTGACAAATGTGTGCCCCACAAATGGCCAGCCGGCAATGTTTCATAATCAAATTTTGTTGTTTGCCGCTCCGATTTTACAAAGTGCCAGCCCTCTTGTAAAGTGCACAATAATTGAAGGTTTTTTATTTCGTACACTCGCATGCAGATTGAGTTCTATCTAAAACAAACACATACACGTTTTGTTAGGCAACTAAAAACCTAGGTTTCAATTGATTAGATGCATACGATCACGATCATTTGTTGAAGATTCACAAACTTCATTCGGCTGGCAGAAAAGTTTTATGAAGCTTGATAATAATACGTTTCATAAATAATAATAGTATCATATGAATAAGCTAAAATGCACCTTTAAATCTTTTTTTTTTATTTATATATATTTCAACGCAAAAAATATACAACATTTTATTTATGAAGAGCCTTTGTTGTATAAGGAAACATGACCAAATAAGTTAAGTTTTTGCTGGATTTTAAATTGTTTAACGACAAAATGGAACATATTAAATCATTTAATTAATGTGATTCCTTATTATCATTTTACCTACATATATATGAGCATTAATGCATCTGTATCTTATTCTCTTGACTAAAGACGATCGGAGGTCATGAAAAGCCAAACATTGAACTATTGAGTTTTTTTTTTATATAAACAGAAAATATTGATGAAATGTGTGAAAATTTATGCAGCTTTAAGCTAAACACCACAGCACTAAGAAGTTCAAGATCGTACGAGTGGTATTATAATTTCACGGTTGGGACATGGATTTGTAAATGTTGATTTAAATTGCAAGCAATAATCTAAGAGATATTCCAAAAAATTTTGCTAAATTTAGGAATTTTAAGAATAGTAAAAATTGATAAGTAGCAATTAATTAAGAGATGCCAAGAATAAGCCCATCCACTTACTGCATTAAAGATCAATCAATATTGTCAGTTCAATCAAAACGAATACACCATACGCACACACACACACAAACACACACACACACGCACGCACGCACACACATATAGTCTAACAAGTTTGGTAAATTTGTATGCGAATATGTCAAATAAAGTGAAAAACTATAATGAAAGCAACCCTAAAAATGGCGTCAACAAACTCATATATTACACATGCACACTCACACACACTCACACACACACACACACACATGTGCAAAACATCAATGCATTATGCGTGCTTATCACAGACAAATCTAAAGCAGAACAACAACAACTGGCAATATGCTCATATTTTATGCCGCACAATACAAAAAGCTAAACGAAAATTATGCAGACATATGTATGTATAGGTTGTGTGTGTGTATATGGGGTATGAGCATAGAGTGACGACAACAACAACAACGCACAACAACAACAACAACAAGAATAGCAATAACAACAACAGGAACAACTGAAACAATAACAATAACAAATCTTACCTTATCAATGATCGCCATATCGTTGCTGAAACGATTCACAATACGTCCGAGGGGCGTCACTTGAAAAAAATGCAAAGTTTTATGCAAAATCGTTTGCAACAGTTTATCGTGCAAATTACGGCGTGCATTACAGCCGGCCCATTGTCCGGCCGGTGTTGATATCATGGCCATTATAATGCAAACACACGAAATTGTTGCATACATGCGAAAATAGTACGTGACTTCGTGGCTGGCCATGTCCTCGTCCGTATCCATGGCAATGTCCGTACGCTCCGGATGCTCCACATTCGATGCCACTTGGTCGCTCCAATGCTGCAGCCAAACGTCCGTATAGACACGCAAACATTGCCAAATTAGTGCGGTGATAAAAAAGACAATGATTATGGGCACACCCGAGGCGCGCATATATAGCAGATATATATGATGCGATATTTGGCCATATTTGCGTTCAACATCTGTTGCCGTTGCCATCGTTGACACTGCACCTGCCCGATGCGGTTCCCGTTCCTGTTCCTGCACCGGATCCCCTTGCCGTTCCCCTTCCCTTTTCGGTTGCATTGACAGCGTCGTCACGTCTGACACGTCAACGTCATTGTTGGCGTCGTCGTCGTCGTCGTCGACCTCGTCGCCGAGCTCGTTGCCCCCATTATTATTGTTGTTGCTGCGCCCATTTGTTGGCAATGCATTAAAGTCAATTTTAACATCTGAAAGAAACAAGAATAATGTTTAAACTATGTGCTAGGACCTGAACAAATACTGAAAATCCCGATGACGTGCTCACGATAACTAGGTTAACTGATTAACTGGCTAGACATTAAAGTAGATTTCTCTTCCAGTTTAATTTTGTCTAAGTTACATAAATTGGCTCAAAATAAGAACGGATTGAGCACTATAGAATTATCTGAATACTAAACATATATATACATCATATGTATGTCAGCTCGTATTTTTTGTTAGTTTTGTTCAAATGGAAATTAAAAAATAACAAAAGAAATTTTGTACATTAAAGTAGTCCAATTGAGAATTGCTCGCATTCAAGTTGTGTCAAGGTCAATATGCTGTTTCATCTGTTACAAAAATTATTTATCAAAATATTGTGAAATCCAAACAACAGCCATGTGGCTGAGTAATAAAATATTTGTGTTATTTTTGCATCGATTGCCAGGGCAAAAGTTCTGGACGGAGCCCCATTACTGTGCTTCTCCACCTGCCTGGCTATCAATGCGCTTCTTTTCTGATGTTTGTTTCAATAAAAATTCAATTTTATATGCACACACATACATATATATAGACAGACACAAACACGCACGTATGCCAATCGTAGCAAACAATCAAAAATGAATATATATATTTTTCATTTTTTCAGCGCTTCTTGTATTTTTTTCAATTTTTTGTGCATCTGCATTTCTGTTTGTCACTCTCTTACATCGTGCAACATGTAGCAAGCGGCATTGTTCAACACGCGCCAATTTCAGTGTTGCGCAGTTCTTTTCATATTATTCGTGTTTAAAACAGAACATTTTGCCCAAATCCTAAAGCATTGATACAATTTGGTTATTGGCACGAACCGAAATTAAAAGTAAAACTATTGAAGTATTTTATTGACCATTCGATCAGCTTCAAATTATTTTTTAAAAATCGTTGTGAAAATTCATTTAATGATTGTTTCTATTTCATAGAAAATGCTGATCAAATGTGTGAAATTTTATGCAGATTTAAGCGCAACACCACAGGACGACAAAGTTCTAGATCGTACAAGTAGACCTAAGCATATTTTCAGGAATGCAGGAAATGCATACAAAATTAATGGAAGCAATAATCTTCAATAAATCGAACTAAAAATATCATCAATATTTCCGTAATAAAATATTAACTCTGTTAAAATGCTGCATGCAAAATTTTCCGTTCCTCCGACAGTGATAACAAATTGTTTGCACATTATTGAACATTTTTTGTAGAAAAAGAATAATAGAATAGCAGAATAAATAATTAAAATTTGTATAAAATAAATATGTATTCTTGCGTATGAACTTTTAATGTTTGAATGATCGATATGCATAGCTGAATACACTTAAATCAGTTTCGAGTACTTGTGCAAACAATTTTCATTGCAGTTTCGAAGAGCCGCAACCCTGACGATTTCTGTGACACTCGAGCAACTGATTAAATTGAAAGTTTTCGCTGCAGGCCAAAACTCGGCAAGTGCTCAGCCAAATATTGACAGCGGGTAGATAGATCAATGCATTAAGTTAGGCAAAAGTTGTTTGCCCCGCCAGCTTGGGGGTGCACTCAGGACGCGTTGTCTCTGTGACACACCGCTGGGAGTACAAAACTTTTGAAATCAAACTTGATTTAAGTTCGCACGCACAGATACAGATACAAGCACACGCACACGCACACACTACTGATTGTACTGCGGCCTTTGCGAATTGTTTCGAAAATATGCACGCTGATATCCTGATAAATATGCCAATATTTTCTTTGTGCTTATTTATTGTGCAGTTCGGCTGCCGTCGCGCCAAATAAATTCCCCCTAATCAATATTCATTACGACAAACTGCAGAGCCAACTCCCAGAGAGTTACCAAACTTTTCGCAGTCAACTTTTGTTGTAAACTCTATTGCACATTCCTCAACGCTTATTGATAGCCCAAGAAGACGGCTGCCACGACACGCATTTTAATTAGCCGATATGCAAAATGAATGTCAGATGCCATTTTATTTTGTTATTCCCTGGCTATTATTCCACTTGCCCTAGCGGGAATTCAAAATCAATTAGCGAAGCGGTAAAGTAGTTTCTGTTCGAAATTAGAGATGTAAAAGAGAAAGTGAGAAAGTGTAAAAGTAAACAAAAAGTTGTGCTTTCGCTTGAAAATGTCGTTAAACACATTCACAAATCTTTAAGAACACAAACTTCTCGAATGTCTTATGGTTTTTTCTTGGACACAGAGGATAAGTTTATACTTGATATATAAACTTAAATTGATTTTAAAAAATCTGTAATACAATTGTAGACATTTTAACTGAAAACGTTTCTATTGGAGCCACAAAAATTGTAATCTGAATAGATATAGTTTTGCAGGAACTATAAAGATCGTTATTGCTAGGTTTGTTCAATAAAAAACTATAAGTATTCTAAAAGAGCACATATTCTTTTTATGACAATAACATGATATAGTTGTTCGATGTTCTATAATAGAAAGTTGCAATATCGGAAATGACCGGTAAAGAAATTCTTTAGGAATGTAAGAAATTAGATATCATTAAACATCCCTGACCAGAATAGTTTTCAAATCTTGATCTTGCAGGCGGTATCAGATAATTTTATCATATATTAAATATCTAGATCAAACTCAGCATATTTTGGTCAAATTGTCTTTAACAAGCCGGTCATGAATTAGTTAATCTTTGGAGTTTTCATAATAAGCAAATTTCCAAGTATAAGTCACTTCACTATTCTCGCAATTCTCTATAAGGGTATTGAGCCTTCGGCGTGTCGGAGCTCCAGTATTAATTAAAATGGGGTAAAAGAGGATGCAACGCTTTTGTGCAAATCGATTTTAAAGGGAGGACGAAAAAGTATATATATTCTTAGTCAGCATTAAAGACTTAGTTTTTAAGCAAACATGCTCAAGCATACTGGCATTATGTTTTCCTCAACGCCTTTTGCTGTTCATAAGTTCTTGAGCACATTTCAATGGCAAACTTTTTGGCTACCTTTAGATGTTGCTTGTGTTTGTTTTTCTACCAAAATAGTACTTAAAATACCACCTGTAGTTATTTGATAGGCACCCTGATGATGACGTTGACCTTGAGCTTTCTTCTCTGGTGAGCCCAAAGGGCAAATGCAAAAATGTGAGGAATTCAAGCTGCGTAAAGTTATAAAGGCTACGTAAACGAAATTGAAACTGTCAAGAATGTCAATATTTAATAACAATAAAGTGTTCACTGCGCTGCAGTTGAAAGTTGTTTAAAGAGAAAATCACGTATGCGCCTGTCTGCCATCGATTAAGTTGACCCATATGACGCAGGACAACTTTCGATGCATACAAATGTGGGAAAAGCAGCAAGGACTAACTTCAGCCAGTTGGCAACTAAGCAACTAGGCAACTAGGAGTCGAGTAGTTACAACATGCCAGATGCATAACTTACGCTTGACTGGTGTCTCCACAGTGGCAGCAGGAGGAGAGTCGACGACAGTTGTCTGTGAATTTGTTGTTGGCTGCGGATTGGACATGTCAACGGCTGGCGATGAAGGCACTGAACTTAGCTCAACTGTTGGCAATAGGGCTGTGCCGCTAGACTCCTCCGAAATGCTTCTGCAAAACAGAAGGCAAGCATTTTAGAGATAGGGAGGAGAAATTACTTGAAATCCAGTTAGGCAAATCATTTACCGAATCGAGTTGGCAGCGCTCAGCGGGCGATGATGATGCTTCGGCTTGTTGGAACGCCGCATAGACATGCGTCGCAGAAACTGCTGGAAGCTGCCACGACTCTGTGCCGCCGCCTGCTCTGCCGCTGGCAATACCTGTGCTTCATCGCCGGTTGCCTCCATGGCCGGTGGCGAAGACACGTTGCGAGTCACGGGCGCATGATGCACGTTCTGTGCCGGCTGCCATGACTGCGCCCGTGGACACAGATCAGGTGGCGGTGGTGTGATGCCTCCTGTGATCGAGTCGCCGCCATCGGCACTGCTCTCCGCATAGCTGCTGCAACTGGCGGTCATCACGCTGCGCCGCAACAGGTCCCCGCTGTTCGTGCTGGAGGTGGATGTGGCCGTCGCCGTGCTTAGACCGCTCAGTCTATGCCAAGAGTTCCTCGACTTGGCGCTGCTGCCCCGACGCTGCAGCGTGGAGCGTCGACGTGGTCGCATTATGACATCGTCCGCCTGGCACTCATCAATGGGCAGTGGCACATCGTAGATCAAATGCCGTGAGCCGTAAACGCTTGAACGCTTGCGCTGCATATGAAAGCTGCCAGCCGACTGCAAGCCACAGCTAATCCCACTGGCCAGCGACAGGGACTAGGGGAGAAAAACGAATCTGTAGATTAATACCTAGCTGTAGTTAAATACCTCACGTTAAAGAGTCTAATTATTGCTCAATTGGCGATATGCGTTCAGCTCAATCCGCTGCGGCACTGGACCCCGGACCCTCTGACACCCTAGTTGCTCACAAAGCCATTTAACGAAATCTACTACTAATAAGGATTGAGCCGATCACACGCTAGATGATAATTAATAAATTGCTTTAAGTTTAAAATAAGCAAAAGGGTCAATATTTAACCTATTGTCTCTCTGTCCCGCAGAATATGCGACATTTTCGACAATGAAGTATAATTTATAAATTATTTAATAATTGAAATTGAAATTGTGCAATACACACTTACCGCTGGCAGATCATCGTCCTCCTCATCCTCATCAACAGCATTATTGAGCGTATTGGCAATTGACGTTGATCCGTTGCCATCTACGCATCCAGAATCTAGCTCCGAGCCGTTGCCGCCGCCAGCCTCCGAGGTAATCGATATGGAGCGCTGCAAACCCAATTTGCTGACATTTTTAAATAACTTCCAGCGTTCACGAGCCGTACGCTCAGTAGGACTATGAATATATAAAAGATAAAAAGTCAAAAATACATTCGGGCTGGCAATATTGCGCCCTCCAAATCTGCCAATTATACCACGTAACAAAATTAAATACAAAAATAAATTGAAAAAAAGTACTTGTGCAATATTTGATGTCTCTATCTCTGACTCGAGATCCCTTCTTTTGATTCCAACCCTTTTTTTATGTTGCTTGCAAAATTATATCTATATTATAGAAATATCTATTCCAATTTATATTAAGGTTGAAGTCAATGTTTGTTTTTTTTTTCATATTTAATGTAATAAAGGATTATTTTAAGATGTTTGTTGTTTAGATCGGCTAATTGAAAATGAATCAATGCTAATCAAATAATTAATAAAATAAAAATAAAAAATAATTGTCGATTACAGATATTGAGTATAATTTTTGTATTTCGTAAAAAAATGTGGACTGCTCAGAGAGATCCAGAAAAATAATTATTATATATGCCAATAAATAGTTGAATGAGTTTTTTACTCTCCATTTATATAAGATGAGGTTTAATGATGGCATTTATTGAAACCATAAAGTAATGAGTTTAGTTTATGCATATTAAGTTTTATTATCATGCCAAAATGAACAAAATGTTTTCAATTTGTGATAAAAATAACACTTTAATTGGTTAACAGATTAGGTTTCAATTTTGATTTGGAAAACCATCACCATTTGCCGGCAACAATTTTTCATTTAGAATGTATACTCTTTCAAAAGTTCTCTTTCTTTTTGATTAATCACTGGGCATATAATTCGCTTATGTTATTATTGAAAATTGTTTTCGAGGTTTAATTAAAGGCACGCTAAAGGAAAGTAACAGAAAACAAACTGCGCTTAAAACTCAATGCCTTATGACTACAAAGGCAGCTGTGAGACTTTGTCAATGCTTTCTCATTATCTTAAGTTTGTGCAAGTTCTTCAAGCATCTGTTTTTTTTAGGCAGATGCTTTGTCTTGAATGAACTTTAATGGAAATCGAAGCACTTGCACAAAAAAATCGAAAAGCTTTGCGTGCACGTACCAAGGCTTCTTTGAGTCATTCCCGACAAAGGGATAAGCCGTTGACAATGCTTCAGTCATATACTAATCTATGCCTCCCCGGATAAAAAAAAAAAAAAAAAAAAAACAGAAAACACAAAATTTTTTTTTGAAATGGCGCCGGCTTCGACGTGTACTCACTTTTGTTGTTGGTCCTTCGCATTTTCGTTTGCCTTAGCAATTATCGAGTTCCATTTGGCGATTATTTGCGGCTGCTTTAGCTCAATGTCCTTATAACTGCCGCAAGCTTGCAGGCGGCCATCTTTCATCACAATTAACTGAAAGGTCGCCAGAATGAAAGAAAGAAAACGAAGAGAAAAAATGACAGCATATAACAAGTAAGAATAATGTTCTAAAGAGTGTCCGTTAAGAAGTTACCCTATAAGCATATATGAAGTATCCTGGTTTGAGCCTGGGCTTTCAATATTTTTTTTTTACTTTCAGCCGGATTGGTTGGATAAAAAAAACATTTTGTAGAAGGTTAAAAACTTTCTGACAATACGCTTACGATAGGGTCAGTAAGAGAATCGTACACAAGCATGTGATAGACTTGGAAAAATAGATTTAAAAATTAATTTTAAGAAAAGAGTTACGTCTAGATAACAGCACTTTTTTTGCGCCTAAAAGCTCTTTTTAACTTTTACAGGGTATATAAAAGGGTCAGAAGAAGCAAAAAGAAGAGGTGCAGCGCAAAAGGCAATAAATTCAATTTCGAAATTTAAATTTGAAATTTTTTGCGTCTGTTCTTCCTTTTTTTTTTTTGCAGCGATGCAGTTGCTGCTGCCGCTCAAATAATTGTAAAAATGTGTGCACAAGCAGGCGGGCTGGCGGATCCTTGGAGTGAGAGCCAGCAGACCGGCAACAAATGGTCTTTCCAGGCAATTGCATTTATGGCCAAAAGGCGATAAATGGCCCCGGCATTTGGAGCGCAAAGTAACAAACGGATGCCGGCAAAAAGCGCAGCTCGCAGGAGGAGGAGCCAAAAGATTGACAGCCACAGCCCGATTCGTGCCCAACGAAACTCCACCGAAACTGGACAATTGTCAGAGCTGAGAAATTTGAATATGAAATGCTGTCTAGCCCAGGGGCTGGCACATTTCGACCGGGCCACTTACATAATCCGCCTCCTTGATCAACTGTAATTGCTGCGTCACCAGGATGATGGTCCGGTTCGACTTCAAAAGCATTTGACGCACACACTGCTCAAAAACATGGCTGGCCACCTCATTGTCCAGCGATGACAACGGATCGTCCTAGAAAAGTAAATTACATTTCAATGTTACACTCAAATTGAAAGATTCAAATCCAAAGAATATGCTTTAGTTTATATTTAAAACATAATCGTTATTTTAGCAAGTTGTCACTGTAGTAGACACTGATATAATAAATTTGGCTTAACAAATATTTATTTTGATTGGCAAATTGGTAAAACAATGGAAAGAGAAAAAATAAAATGACTATATATATATATGTCTTCTGAGATATTATGAAAATCGCATAGAAAGGCTATGTTGGAATCAAGGAAAAGAGATGTCACTACTCTACTGAAATAGAGCGGAATAGAAAAAAGTCAAAGAATGAGAAAAAGAGTAAACGAGAGGTACTCTTGTTTGTATCCGACTTAGTCTAGGTATATTTAAGCGATTCCTATCTATCTATTTTTCAAAATTATATTCATTTGAAGCTCTAAGCTTTTGTCTAATTTGTTTTTACATTGTGAAGCATATACGAAAACAAAACTCTAATATCTTATCTTGTTTTTCTACAAAATTTCGACACGACTTTCAAATTAAAATTAGTTTCTGTGACCTTCTTAAAATATGTCAATCCGATTACCGTGTTCGTCGGAGTGAAAAGAAACCCCCACATCATTTGATGCCAAACCTCATAACGTGCCCTATAAAACTTGTTTACCCTGCAACAAATGTGTCGAATTTTTATAGTTCATTTAAAGTTGAAGCATTTGGCGGATTTTATGAGCGAATGCATTCACATAAAGCGCATTGAGGCGTCGGATTGGCCCGCAGTTAAGTCGACAGCATCGTCCTTGTCCTTGGCATTTACTTACTCACCATTATGACCACATTAGCCGATGAATAAATTGCACGTGCAATAGCGATGCGCTGCCTCTGTCCGCCGGATAGGTTGATGCCGCGCTCACCGATTATCGTAAAATCGCCGCTCGGCATTAGTTCAATATCCGGCTTTAGTGCACACGCATCAAGCACAAAATCGTAACGTTTTGGCCGAAACGATTCTCCAAAAAGTATATTCTCCCGTATCGTGTCATTCAGCAGCCACGGGCACTGTGGCACATACGAGATGGTGCAGTTTCTGTACGAATCGGTAAACAAAAAACATTTAATTGATTAAATACATCCATGTTGGCATTTTATTAGGGCATTAAATTAACTAGTTCCACTTAGTTTATGCTGCAAATACCACAATTCCTTCAAATCAAAAATCAGTTTCAATGAAACCAAGTCGTTTATGGGAGCCCAGTTAATAGGTCTACAATAATACATTGTTGTTGTTTAATTCTTACGGAAGTTATATTGGCATTTGAGCAATTTTTTTTATCATAATCAAAAAGAGAAAGGGAAATGCTCACATATTTAAGCAGCGTTTTAAACTTGCATTTATTGATTTTATTTAAGGCTTTTCGGCTTAAATATTTGCACCACATTTTTCAGCTCTTGCGTCGTTGCGCCTTTTCCTTTATCCAGGTGCCTTTTAAGCTGCTGTGGTAAGAATGTTAAATATGCAAAAACAATTTATAAGGTATACGATTTATCTTTGGTGCAATGTCTAGAATGTTGCGCAGAAATTGGCTGCGCTGCAGTCAAATATTTGCAAGCTATAACCTCTGATATAGCTAAGACGAATATCGATTCCAAATTGTCCTTTAACTTAGCCTAATTAAAGTGCATTTTAAATATTGGAATTTAAAAATTTAATTTCTATATGAACAATAGATTGTGCGATTCAGCTTAAAATTTCAATAAGCATTTTATTGAATACTAATTGAACTAGTTCCAACATTTATTTACTGCTAGTTCGTAAGCCAAAAAGGAGGTTCATTGAATAACTTCCGGAACTCATCAAGCTAAGCTGCTAGACTGCATTTTATCTAAACTCCTATTAAGCTGCAAACTTTCATCGTTAATCAAAACAACCAAACACACACACACACACAGCTAGACTCATGTAAGCTTTCGCTTTTACATGACATCGCTAATTATGGCAAATGCGAGTGACTTCAATTAATTAGCTGCAATTTAGTTAAGCGGTTTATATGATAACTTTCACCGTATTGGTCGACAAGCGCATAAGCCGCAGCCTATATACACTTATTCACCATACACACACACACACACACACACAAACACACACACACACACACGAACACACTTAATTAAGTAACTCGCAGGAAATGCAGATTGGATGATTGGCGCTTATGGGCGACCGCAACATGGCGAAGCCGCAAACTTGTGACCGACACTATAATATGTCAAATAGTTTCAAGCGTCTTGGACAGAGAGTAATAATAATTGTTTCGGAATTTCCCAATAAGGGGGTTGCAGGCATATTAATTATGCTTCAATTATAGCTTTGATATGCTTAAATTATAGCCAAAGAAATAAATTAACAAATTATAAATAAAGATGAAACTATTAATATGTTCCTTAGAATTTTATATAATGCAAATGTTTTTGCAATCGTGTATTTTAAGCACAGAGCAAAAATTAATATATGTTTAAGGGACCTTGAGCAGGTTTTAATATGCTGCAACCTTGTCAAAAGATGTTAAGTTAATGTTAACTGGGTGCATTTACTTGCAGCTGTTGAGCTCCACACGTAAGTCACATTACGTATGCGCCCTGTTGACCTGTTTAATTCAACCGCACGCACACACACATACTCGCACTTCGCCATTAAATCACACTTTGCACCTCACATCGAGCAACGCCGACTTGGACGCAGTCCGCTTAGAAGACGCCCCTTGGCTTTGGCGTTGCGTTTGCGGCCAGGCAAGCCTTGTCGCGTATCGCGTGTGGCAGCTGAAAATCACAAAACCGCACACACTTAACAATCGTTAGGTTCACGTTGCCCCTGCAATCCATAGTGTGGCGTACATGTGCAGTGGTACAATAAATTTCCAAGCCAAAGGGAAAACGAAACGCACAAAAAGGCGAGGACGAGCGAGAGAGCGTGAGTGGAAGAGGAAGACACTTCCGAACAACACAGACATTTATTACAGTAATTGAAATTATTGCACATTTTGCGTTTGCCAAGGCGGAACGGGCTGCAGGAAGCGGGGGCCAGAGAAACAGAAGCCAAGTCGAATCCTGGCAAGATGCGGCCCTCCTTTGCAGCCTGCTGCGCGATTTCAGCTTGTTAAATGCATTTTTATATGGCAGCCACGCCTCCGGTTTGCTGGGCACTTTGTTATAGCCGCCAGCGGGCCAAAGGGGGCGTACTGGGGGCGTGTGCAGTTCTCTTCGTTTATTTTATGTGCAATAAAATTAACATATACAGACATTTTGTGATAAATTACCGCATCACGTGATGTGCCTGGAAACGACTGTAAAAATATGTTGAATGACTGCGGCGGCGACTCCGGCTGCAATCGTTGCAACTGCAACTGCAGCTGGAAGGGCTACATTTAATTTGAGCGTTTCCCTGCCCGCATTAAAAGTGAAATTGTGATTACAGCAAAAGTTGTCGCTTGGCATTTAAGTGCCACAAGATGCATGCTGCACCGACAACTGACGACTGCTGCCACAGCCACAGTTCGCAGCGGCATTCAGGCAATGCCTGACACTGCGACAAATGCCCCTGCCAGCACAATGCATTCATTTAAATTTGCCCAACGCTGCGTATGCGTGATGCGTTTTAATGGCTTAAAAGTCATGCGGCTTCTGAGTGGCTTACAAATGTTTTGTGTGCACCTTTCATCCAGAAGCTTTGAGTGCGGCAGCGAAGTGAATTAACTTTGTGCTTGCAATCCATTCCTTATTTAATCATTAATGTATGCCAGGTGGTAGAAACCCTTTAGTTATTCATTATAATTACAAATTAAATTTTTGTTCTTCTCAAGTTAAAGCAATAAATATCTCAACAGAATTGTTGAAAAAGCTAAAAGTGAAGTAAAACTGAGAAATTTCGTTAACCATTCATTAAACCATTCTAGAGCCCGTCTGTGTGAGTTTTCCAGTTTTATAGTCGAAATTATTATATTGAATTAAATCTATATTCAACATTTTACACTATTATAAACTTTCTCCCGGAAATGGGAAGGAATTGTACAAGTAAAATATTTTTAATCTGCTCCTCTGTGCTCCTTTTCCTTATGCTAATTTCAAATTCGATGATTTTCGATATTATACAAAAATAAGAAGAAATCAGGAAATGTTATTTACTTGCTCTGCGAGTCATATAGGAGAGCATATCAAATATCTTGCTCTTGTAGTTTCCCAGATCGCCGAGTCTAGATACATATATGAGCTACTCGAAGCTACTCGAACATGGGTTGCCAACAATAACCTGTTTTATATATGTGCACAAAACTATTATACCCCTAAACTGTCAACGGGTACAGGGTATAGTGAGCTAGTTACTTAGCTAATTAAACGTTTAAATTTATCTTATTCATTTCTCTATTTTTTAACTTAGTTCCTTGGTTTTGTTGTTTTCGTTTTGGCTTTGTTGCATGCTGCCCATTTGGCATTTTGTGCTGCGTCAGATTACGCACGTTTTGTTGTGCGTCCACAAGCCAACAAGCGAAGGGCACATCAACTATAGTCGTAGCAACGCTGACACGCCCCCAGGTAAATATTTAAATTATTTATGTGCCATTTTGAGGTGTGTAAACAGCAGGCGGATGGGGCGGGCTGCTGCTGCTGCTGATGCTGCTGCCTACACCCAAAGGTCTGTTTGCTCATTTAATGGCATTTAATTGCATAATTTTTAGGGGTGTGCTCAAATTAATTAGCTAGCTTGGGTTGGTTGCTATTTAAATTCAATTCAACAACGCCCGCAGCCTCAATATAGTTTCAAGGTCAGGGACTGTGGGCCATCCAAACTTTCAAAGCACTCATTCACTCGCATTCAATTTAGGGCGAACACTTGAAGCAACAATGGCTGGGCCAGAACGAGATCGGACTAACATTCGCCCGTTTTCACACTCGGCTACATTTAATTAAAGTTTTTCAATTGTGCGTGCGTGTGTGTGTGTGTGTGAGGTGTCTTCGCTTTCCGGTTACTTTTGCATACGGGCTGCCAATTTGGCAAAGCATACAAACCGGCGCTTGCAAGTTTTCTTGGCCTTCAACTGAGCCATAAATAAAATGCAATAAGCGCCGCGCGTCTCCTGCCGCACATTTTACCCGACTCTCCCCTAACCCTGCATCGGCATCAAAAACGCTTTCAATAAATTTTCTTCTACCACATAGCTTGCAGTTGCATATGAATGTGCGTGTGCGTGTGTGTGTGTGTGTGTGTGTGTGTGTGTGTGTTTGTAACATTTCACATTTCAGTTCACAGTTCTCGTTTTTGGTGATTCCCTGCCATGTGTGTTGCCTACTTTTAGGCGTCCAATGAATTGCATTGGCATAATATGCGTTTTATATGCAAAACTGCAAGCAGCCTGGTATCAATGGGCTCCTCCATACATACATACACATATTTCAAGCCTTAAAAGCCTAATTTATTGGCTGGCTGACAGGTTAAGCAGCCATACACAAGTAACTAGGCTAGGCCATCTGTTTCTTAGTTCTTACAATATATCCGTTTGAAAAAAAGGAGAAACTTGGAATTTCGAAATGTACATTTTGGGAATCGAAGCGAAAGAAACGTCATTATATAAATTTGAAATGCTTTAGTTGACTTCGGCTGACTATGAGATACCCTAAGCCCAACCACGAGCTGCCATCACATTCTCGCATCCTTTTGCCCTATAACAACGAAGGGTATATCAAAACTCAAGGTGTTATCCACAAGAATAAGTATATAAGAACTTTAAGAGGATTGTACGCCAAAAGCTAAAAATTCTGGAACTAAGCTGCAAATTTGAGACCTCTAGCATTGTGGTCTTTGGATAGACGAGCAGGTGGGCAGACGGACTCGGCTCGATTAACTCATTGTTAGTTAAGAATAAATCAAAAATATTAAAAGTCAGAGAAGACTTCCACCAGTTAAATACAATTTCACAATCGGATTACAAAAATTTCTTAGTTAAATATATTTATGCACAAAAAATAAAGTTGTGCACTAGATAGAAAACTTGTACTCACTTATGCCAAAACATATTCCCCACAAGCAGTGGCATCTCCATGAGCAGAGCCGATAGCAGGGAGGTCTTGCCACTGCCATTCTTGCCCACAATGATGGTCAGCTTATCCTTGGGTATAGTCATCTCCTGGACGTGCAGCTGTACGTTGGGCAGACGGCACTGGGGCTGCCAAGTGAAGAGTCCATCGTTGATGGACACGGCTATGTCGTCAGGCATCTTCAGCAGCAGTGAGTCACGACGCCAGCTATCCGTGTTCCTGGCACGCACCACCGAAAACTCCATCGGCTTTTCCGCAGTGCCGCCAAATCGCTTGGGCGGCCGTATGGCCACATAGGGCGTATTGCGTAGCAGCTCACGGCGCTGCTGCACGAGCTTGTGGTGACCAAGTTCGTGAACGAGAAACACCGGCGGCCGCTCCTCCGGCGATTCGCCATTGCTGTGCAGCAGGGGAGTGATGGGCTCCGATTGAGCCAGGGGCGCAGGCGACGGCGGCTGCTCCGAATCGCGATTGCGCAGCGCCTGGCGCTGTTCGTTAAGTCTATTTTCCGCCTGGGCTGTGCGCAAGGCCAGGTTGGATTTCTCCTGCGTCTCATACATGTCCAGCGAGGCGTCGCTCTTGCTCAAAATGCGCGCCATGTTGCGTATACCCTCGAATTGCTTTTGAATCTCCGGTGCGTGCAGAAAGCGCTCCAGGCGTCGGGTGGACACCCTTGCCGCAATGATAATAGGCACCGTTATGGGAAAGATCAGCAACGGCACGGTCATCTGCTGGAACAGAGCCAGGGCAGCAAACAGATGACTGGCATCGAAATGCAGATGCGAATCCTGTGGCAGGTAAACGTAAACAGCCAAGGTAACAAATGTGATCAGCACCGTGGAAATGTGAGTCAAAATGGCTGCAAATAGCGTTGCAAATGCAATTAAATATAACTTGTTATAGTTAGTTGGGTTGGATTTCCACCTACCCATTAAGGTCCAATACAGAGCGTCTTTGTTGAGATATTTGAGTTCCTTTTTGCGTGCCGCTTGAATCTTTCTTAAGAACACCTCATCCCAGGCGTTTAATTTGATAATCTTTATGCCAATCAATGTGTCATGAATTTTTTTCAATCGCTCATCTGTGTATTTCTAAACGGAAAAATATATAAAATAATTAATTACAAGTACCCTTTTGCTTCAAGTGAGGCAGGTGATTGCCGAGTTGGGCCAAAATATCTGAAAGAACTGAAAAGTTCTCCATACTGAACCGATCCTTTCTGTAGAGTAAATATAATATTCCGTTGATGCTGATGTCATTTATTTCATATGTAAGGCAGCTGATAACATCATTTAAGCTGAGAGACTAGACAAATGGACCCGGTTATATCGACTAGCATAATCGGCACACATCTGTGCTTCTGCATGTCAACCTTCTTGCTTTAAATATTGAAATAAAACATATCTCTATAATGCCCGCATTTAACGCCAATCAAATAACAATCTGTAAGCCCAAACTTAAATTAGCCACAAGTAAATGAAGAATGCGTCAATAGGCCTAAAAGCCGAAACCCAAATTCAATTAACTCATGTCGACCAACTTGCAATAACTTTAAATTGACCACAAATCTGTTAACAAGAAAGTTTTAATGAGCCAACAGCAATAACAAGAATAGCAACAAAAACAAACAACAGCTCGGCCAAAGTTCAAGAGAATATGGCACACAATACAAATTCTGAACCCTGGAAGGTCAGAATAATGCCAGGCAGGCAAATGGCAAACAAACTGACCAGCACAATGCAAGAATCAAACGAATTGTGATGCTGTTGTATCCTGTCGTATTCTGGCCATTTCATGCTTTCCAAATGTGGTCCACTTCATTTCGAACGAAATTAATTTTGTTCATTGTCTCGCTCTAATTAAATTCAACTGCAACTCCCTGGCCACGCCTCCAATCCATCGCCCATTGTTTTACTTACCGCTATCACTTCGGCATTCCTGGACATCGCATGGCCGATGAGGAACTGCAACGGTGTCATAATGACAATGCACACAATGGCTCCAATCACCGCACTTATGCCCAGCTTCAGATACAGCAAGTAGATGACCAGGGCTATCTGTAAGGAAATACAAGAAATATGTATAGATGCGATTGCAGTATTCAATTTATTTGGTTATGCAAATCATGTAGTCATTGCAATATCGAAAGATGGACGGAGGGAATTTGGTGTGCACCAGCCATAAGATAATTAAGATGTGAGTACATTATTTGGGCAATAAACATGATGAAGCTTGATATGGAGCTGTGCAGAAGGAAATAGATTGAGTTCAAATATTATTACTTGGCTAAGACCTGCAAAGCAATGAAAATACAGACGAAAAATATTTTGACTTAATGTGCAAGCCAATGCAAACCTTAAAGTTCGATTCGTTAATCTGGTTTACGTCAGCTATGAATTCAGTTTTAAATACAAATTAGGCTGGGCGAATTTATTTTAATTTTCAATACAATTCAGTTTATCTGAGTCTAGCTCTTGTAAACTAAGAGATTTACTGCAGCAACAGCATATCGACTTTGATCATTAGAAAGAATCTTTAATCGGTTTTTATTGATTACATAAAAACGGAGCAGCAATAAATTATAATATAATAATATAATACAATATAAACAAAATATTCTGTAAATTTTCAAAAAACAGGTCTCCGAGATCGATTCGTTCGTTTGTACGGATGGATAAGCAGACGGCTTTAAATAGATCTACCTTATGGGGTGGGAGATGCTTCCTTCCGCCTGTTTACACTGAAACATTGGAACAAAACATTAATGCTCCTTTGTACCACAGCTTATTTATTAATCGCAAAGAGAAGTCAGCGTAGTACCTATAGAATACCAGAATCACACGCATCTGAGAAATGCTAAATTACAATCGTAAGTCCATAATTTAATTAATCTTTATGGTTTAAAGTAGGCAGTCATTAAATTCTATACATTATTTGCATGAATACGCTTTATTGTACTTTAGAATTTGAAACTAAGTATATCAAATGCACTTCGTCGCCATTCATTAAATATTAATTTACTCTACAGGAATGTACAATAACATTATATTCTATATCTAAATTGCATTTCATTGGTGAATTAAACAAATCCTGTACACATATCTTGCTGCATGTATTTAAGATATATTATTACCGAACGACATGCGAGACCGAACCACAACTATCCCAATACTGGCTGCAACGTAAATGTTAATTAATTTTTTACACAATAAACATGACCCTAAACGAGTCTGCCTGCCCGGCAAATCCGATTCGGCCTGCATACAAACGAGTAAATTATAATGCAGCTGCTGCCATGACAGTCCACAGAGCAACACCGCACCCCGCCGCACCACCGCACCACCGCAGCACCGACAACCGCAAATGCTTAACCTGAACCAAGTACGAGCAACAGTCGCCCCCAAACATTTACAAATCAATTCATTTTGAGACGGGGTTCCTGCTGGGGCAGAGTATGGACTGGACTAGCTGTGACTGGAATACAGCGCACAGGACCTTAGTAAATACAAACTCATAGCTAATTATGCCAAATTTGACACACATGCATACATATATTTACATACATTTAATACGCATTAATTATGCGTGATTGTATGCGTGTGTGTTAGTACGCCATGTGCATTAGTGTGCGTGTTTGGTTTAATCATTAACAAGTTTGTTCAATTACATAAAAATCCCTAGACTTAAACTAAGTACATATATGCACATGTAGTCAGAAGCCATGCACAAATATTTGCACAACGAATGACATTTAAATGCCGAAAACAAATAAAATTTGCATGCAATCTATAAGAAATTGTACAAATAAAATACAAATCAAACGCAATGCAATTTATAGACGGCAAATTACATGAAATAAATCTAGAGTGTGATTAAAACAACAACAACGACTAGAATTTTCCAAGCCCAGCAAGTGTTATAAATAAGCTTTCAATAAAATGCGCCCCAAAAATGGCACACAAGATGCTCGTAAATTAACTTGGATTTTGTTACGAACCTTGAATGGTATTGCCCAGGCATAGTGAGCGATCCAAAAGAATTGCATAATATTGAGAGTGTCCTCCGTCATGTGATTCGTGATTGCGCCAATGTCACTGAGGCCTGTGCGGAGAAGTCAAAATAGATTAGAATTCATATTGAATTTCTATTTAAGCTCATGTACAATTAATTGTATGCCTTGAACATAAAGGACTCAATAGCAAATCCTATTTAATATGTGAAAGTTAATACAGCAGTTGAGTGCGATTTCGTACCCGGTTCACATTACGCACTTTGTGTCACAATCGGTAGGTATTAGGTTTTCAATAACATCTTCCTGTGTTTACATGTCTTTCCCTTTTAATTTAGGTAACCATAATTAGAAAGCATTTGAGTGTTTTTATAGTTCTGCCTATTAGATATTAATAAACTAACATCCTACGTTTTGATCTCATATTGAACCTGTACAGTAATACATCCTAAACTCCACACTCTGGTTCGAGACTAAGCCACTCGAAAAGCAATTTGTCTTTGCTAGACACGGAAAACTGCTCTAATCGCAACTAAAAACAAATAGCTACCCAGTGGCAGCAAACCTTCATTGTTTGACGCACAATTGGATGGCGCCCAAAAATGGACACGCCCACTTAAGCCAATTACACGTGGACATTTAGCCAGGTCGCTGGCAGCAAACACTTCAGCCGTAAAACTTTCAATTAACACCAAACGCACATTTACCTCTGTCAAACACGAATGAGTTTGATACAAATAGAGAGTGAGCGATGTGCTCTGATGTGGGGGTTGAAGGGCGGCTTGAAGAATGGGCCGGGGGGGTGAGGGGTCGGTTCTACCAAAGCCAAACACTTACCGTCTGAACGCTCCGTTTGTTGTTTGGCAGGCAGCTCCGCAGGCTTATCATTGGTAGTCAGCCCAGTGTTGCCATTTTGTTGGACAGCAGCGGCGGCAGGGTTGTCACCATCATCATCAGCATCATCATCATCAACATCAGCGGCATTGTTGCCACAACCACTGCTGGCATTTAGAAGCAAACTTTTGCGATAAATTAGACCCTGTAGCGATGTTTTAATCCGGATCCCTGTCATGTTGAGCACATGCGTGGAGGCCTGCGACAATGCGGCCTGTGCCAATGCAGCCACCAGCACCAGCCAAGCAATGCTCCAGCCATTTGTTAGCAAATCCGACCATCTGGCATAGTAAATTCTCACATCGCCAATGCCAATAGCAACATTGAAAAGCCCATCATCGCCACCATCAACATCATCATAGTAAACAACATCAGCAGGACTATCTGTGGCCGCATTAGTGCCCAACATTGGGCTGCTCGTAGACCCAACTCCCAATAGTATTGATCTATTTGCCGCAGCTGACTGTGCCTCGACCTGTGCCTGTGCCTGTGCCGCCGCATAGAGTCCTTCGATATACTGCACTATTTGCTGTATGGCAAGTGGACCAATCAATGCAAATAAATCACCGGCCAACTTCAAAATGCCGCCCAATGCAAACATGCGCCAACTGTTCTTTATATAACAATACCATAAAGATGGCGATGCATTTGATTTTTTCTACAAAGAGAGAAGCGAATAAATCATTAAACGATTTCAATATTATTATTAACAGAATAAAGTCACGAACTAAAAATAATCTGAAATATTAGTGGCTATTGTCTCATTCGGCTCCCATATAGACAAAGGTCGAATCCCTTCCGATTCTTGCCAGGTTTGGGTCTTTGTGCACGGCTTGACCTGTAGATCAATACAGCATCTATATTGGGCAACATTATTTTTTTTCAAAATTCGTGTAGAAATGGTATATAGACATAGGTCAAAATTTCCCACATCCATAACTCGGACACAACTCAATCGATTTTCACGTAGTTTGGCTCTTTGTTTATTTATTTTATAAGGACCACGGACAGGGCCGCGGCATACCCTCTAGATATTGATATATTAGCTCGTTGTTGCTACAATTCAATGTATACTTTCGATATTACGTCCAAGTCAGATAGTTTACATTAAGAGTAATTAATAAGCACATTAATGCCAGACGTTTAATATATCCTTCGGCTACTTTGCTGGCCGGCATTCTATAATAATTTACACAGCCAGTTGCCATTTTGTCATTAAAATTGCACACAAAATGCGACAAATAAATTAACATTAAAAAATAAACCAAGTAAGAACCAAGTAAGAACAGGCAGTCGACTAGTAGATATCCTGTAATCGATGAGTAGAAGAACTGACAGCTGCTAGATCAAGTAGAGTAGATGTTTATTTAGAACAAACTTTTAGATTTAGTGAGACACATGGGTGCGTAATATTATCGCCCATTTGTTGGTAAACCCCTTTTGATAATTCTTATGAGTACAGGGTATACATAAAGCAAGCAAAACTGACAATGGACACACTTTCACTTTGTTATCAAGCAAATGGCCGCAGCTCTGGCCCATCTCCTGCCCTTTACGTGTACATATTTGTATATATTTTTTATTTGCATTGATAATTTATTGCCTTTAGCCAACGGCGGCATTGCATTTAAATAAATAATTAAGCAATTTGCTTGTTGTGCTTTTTGCAAATGAAATACAATATTTTCTTAATGGAAATTCAACAGAGCCAGTTGGCGAGGCCAAGCCGAAAAGAAGTCTCAATTGTAGCTGGTCATTTTGGCCAGAAGCATTTAATTATTTATTTATTTATTTTGTTTTATTCTTTTTTTTTTTTTTGCATTTTTATTTTAATGTGCCCTTTTTAATTAAATTACGCCCAACGAGCACAGTTGCAATTTAATGTGTTAATATATCTCAACTCTTTATCTGAGTAAATGGACTTGAGCACAGAAATTAAATATTTTTGGCATGCTATGCATATGAGAGTTTAAATTAAATATTTGTAGTCTATCTTAAAAAATGTCGTAGTTATATTTATAAAACGAACCGAATTAGTAATAGAAATGGAATTGACTTCCAAACTGAGTTAAAATTAAGGATTCAAGATTAAGAATCTTCGAATTGATGTTGACTTTTCATTAATCTAATACGAAATATTTTAATGTTATGTTGAGAATTAAATAATCAGACATATCTGATTTCAGATAGCTCACCACTTCTTCTGTGTAGATGTACAGAAAGCGATCATAATGCGCTCTGGCGCTATCCTCCAATCGCATGTGACCCAGATCTTCCAGTTCGAGCGGCTCCTTATAGCCCAGCCACAGCAGGGACGTTAGCCACCAGAAACAGGATTTGGAATAGAACGTGGCGAGCGTATGCTTATATCCGATATGGTCATAGTCTTCCAGGTAGTCGTCCCGATAGCGCTACAATGAAAATGTATGTTAGGACTGAAAATTTCTAGATTAAGCTAAATAAGAGCGTGCTTTGAATGAAGTTGTACGCTTGAACTGACAGCTCACATAACTTGCACGTGTTTTTGCACATTTCAAGCCCAACGAAAACAAAGCCCAGCAAAACTGGACAATAACTCAAAAGCAACTTAGCAACTGGTCTTAAGTTCTGCCAACGAAATTTCAAGAGCCTGCCCACCCCGTTGCAAAGTGCGCCCTGCAAGAAGACAAGATGACATTCTGTAGCCTTGCTTGCATGTGTTGCTGTCACTTTGAAATAATATACCCACTAACAAAGCTGCACAGGGTATATTGACACACTGAAACGTTAGGTAAGCAGGTTACAATCAGAACTGTAAATCTGTTTTAAACTAAACCTAAACAACCGAGCCGGCACTGAATCATATATTATTTCAAAAATGTTTTGGTTTAAAGAACACCCAGCTACGAAATAAAAATAACGTGGACCGCAGTCATTGTATTAATTTAAACATATTTATAAATTCTAATTGAAATTTTAAATTATGAGTAAACCAAGAGTTGATCATTAACTAGATTCATGGGGAAATCCAGGTTAACGTTTGAAACCGGAGGGCAGAGAATTGAATCGTGAATGGAAACAAGTAAGTTTCTAATTACTTATAAGACTCCCAAATAAAATTAATTAAGTAAAACTTCAGTTAAGAAAACACTTCATTTAAATAATAATAAAAAAATATATTAATATGAAATAATATTGACTGAGAAATTGTTGTATGTTCCATGAATTAGTCAATATTATTTTCAGAAGCACCTATTTTATGTGTTATATTAATACAGTACAGGGTATTTCTTCGTCAACCTTCAGATGGAATGCTATACCATGTTGTTTTCTTTTATTTCCATTTGTATGTATATTTCGTAGGTGTTGTTTTTGCAATGCAACACGTTTTGTATGCTGCTCAACGCCTTAACAATGGCACTTCGTCTGGGCAGTGCTTTGGCTTTTCTTTTGGCAGCCTTTTGTTAAGTTGCCGTTGCTTTTGGCCGTTGGCCGTTGGCCGTTGGCAGCTTTGTTGCCAGCTGGCAGTTGTTGTGGCATTTGTTGCACTTAAGCGCCTCTAAAGCAGTCGCTTTTTGTGGCACTCGTCGTGCGGTCAAGCACGCAACGCCTTGAAGTATGCAAACGCTTTGGTTAACTGACATAAATAAAATATTTGCCAAGCGCAAAAGGATTTTCGAGAGAGCAGCAAATCTGCGCTTAACCTCAATTAAAATGTAAACATATTAAAATCCCAATGCAGTCGCTGCACACACACTGCAGCCCCCGGTCCTCTAATCCCTTGTTAAATTAAATAAACCTTTTGCATTGTCATCGTCAGGCAACTTCTTCACTTTCTCCTCCCCCTCGGCTATTTGCTCAGCTAATTTTACGCGCTCGCTCTGCCAAAATGCAAATGCAGAGCTGCACTGAAATTCCACTTCTCCCCCCTTTGCTGGGGGATTTTTGCCTAACCCAGCATCCGTTTTTAACAACAACTGCCCCAGCAACAGTAGCAACAATAACAACAACACCAAAATCTGCAGCCGACTTGCGCTATGCCCTAAAGCCATTTAGGATAGCTTAGAATCGGATACATAGACACCAATATATATAATTTTGTGAATTTTATTATTCAACCATGTGCGAAATTCCTTATCAACCGAATACTGCCCCCAATGCTAAATGTAACATATTTTAATTATAGGTTACTTCGGGATTCCAATTAATTTTCTTTTCAGGAACGGAATCCTTGACCAAACCAGGTGGATAAAGGCCAGCCTATTTTATATATTTTTGGTTTGGTTGAAATTAATTACATTTGTGAGAAACTGGAATATAAAAAAGCCCACAGTGGGAAATTTGTTGTGGAATATTCTCACAAATACGAACAGCTATAAATTAAAAAAAAAGTTGTTTGATTAAAAATTGGAAAAAAGTTTGGCACACGAATCGAAAAGGTTCGCGAACTAAACTTAACGAAACAACAACCGAATCACAGAAAAGTCTGCTGATTTGAATTTAGAAGAAAAAAACGTTCTTAACTACAGCGTATGCAGCTTTCGAGAATACTCGTTTGGGCGCCTTCTTAGTTGTTTATATTTTTGGGTTTGTGCTCAGCGTTGCATGGCATTATTTGCTCACACCCTGCCTGCCATTCTCATTTTACAAGCAGCTTCCCTCTCCCAACTCAGTCACCACCACCACCGCCCACCCCCCACCAACCCAACCAACTGCTAACCAGCCATTCCGCACACTTCCTTTATTAAAATTATGCACTGCATGGCGGCACCCAAATTAGGTTGGGTCTTCCCATGGCTCTCGGGGAGCGCCAGATAAGCCAGGCACGTGAAGCGGCATTTAGTCAGTGCCGCAGTTTCCGGCTCTTCATAGTTTTTGAGGGCGGCGAGAAAAGTTGACTAATGTCCAGCGCTCAATTGTATGCTAAAGGCAGCTCCTTTTGGGCCCCATCTTTCGTGCAACATAAATCCATTGGTTGCATTTGCCCAATACTTGCGCAATACCCTCGCAAGGCACCACCTACAAAATGTATAGCATACTCAAGGGCGCACTTCATGAGGGCAACAGAATTTTACATAGTTTTTTATTTTTTTTTTTTTTTGGTGAGTTTGCCGCAGCCAAAGTTTGCCTTTCAATTGGCTTTCCAGCCTCAGCTGGCATTGATTTGATGTTTGAATATTACTCATACGACATGAGCATGAATATGTCGCAGGAAAAGTTGAGAATCCTGCAACTGACTATGGAAGGATGGGAAGCATGCCTTTACATAAATTTAACCAAGAAGAACCTATAAAAAAAATATTGAGTAGGGTATGCATATATACATGTTATATGATAATATTGCAAATGAATTTTCAATGGAAGCTGTTAAAGGTTTCATTAAATTGGAAAGTCGTACATTTAGAATGGGGTTATTTACCATATACTATATATTATTTACTTTTTTACCCAGGCTGACTAACATACTGACTGAGTATGAAATTTCTATACATCATTTAGGCTTACGCTGAGCGTTGGGTTTCTTGAATTCCATTTTGAAAATCAGCCAAAGATTGAAAGTTTAATGAAAGTTACTTTGGCTGAATTCTCGTTTCGCCGACCTTGTATAAATAAATAAAAAATACTTATCAAAAATGTATAAGAAATATGTTTTTTTTTTCGTAGATTTTCCATATACTGAAGTCGTAGGGCTGAGAAATTGATATTATCCCTTAATAATTAATATATATCCTTGAAGCACTCAAATGTTCTCATACCGACTTTAACTTTCACTTGGCTTCCACGATTAATATTTGATATCTACATTTTCCACCAACTTATATCCACCACACACACACACACACACACACACACATAGCACAGCTGAACCACTGCTCTGTGCGCATTCGCCTTAAAGTATGCAACAGCATTAGTGCATTTGGCTGCATAACAATGACGGGCACAAGTTGAGGTGCAAGTTTGGAGCCCGGCGCCGGCTCGTTTATGGCCCACAGCGCCTCCACGTTGCACTGGTGAATGTATAAACAACCGTAAACTGCAAGTTTTATATAAAGTACTCGTTGCCAGCCCCTCTCTAAGCCCGCTTCCTTTGCATTGCCAGAAAAGGTAAGCAGCAGAATCGCCCAATGTAACTTTAATGTTTTTATTTGCTTTGCTACTTTGCTGCGCTTATTGCTCTGCGCCTCTTTTAGTGTTTGTTGTTGTTGTTGTTCTTGTTGTTGTTCTTGCTGTTCTTCTCGGTTTGTTATTACTGGATATCTGTGCACTTGTGTGGCATGTTCTGTGTGCATGTGTCCTGTGTGGCAACTTTGGATTTCCGGTCTCAAGCGGAAATAATGTCAAGCATGAGGAGACACAACGACTGAAGGTTTCCTCGGCACGTTGCTTGCATTCCCTGTTTAAATATTTAGCTATTTTTCAGTCATATTATATGTGTGCATGTTAATTCGATAAAGTGGTAGTAACTCAGCCGTTTGTAAATGTCACGATAAATAAGCAGCAAAAAACCCAATTCTATGCGACCAAAATGTAGTATTAGTGCCCATATTCTTAAATTTTAGCTAAGAAATATCCTTTGTCATATTAATAGAGCTTTAGCTTTAAGTTTATGTAGTACTTTTTTTGAATTAAATGGAGAAATTACATTTGAAACATTAAATTTTTCGGGCGAATCCCGATGAAACGCGTTGCATCCCTTTCTATTTCTTTTGAATATATTTCGAAATATTTTCCTCTAGAACCTCTCAAACGTTCGTTGCAGTCATATGCTGCAAACTTACATAATTGTTAACTTTAACTATGGCAAATTCCAGGCAAATCTTAGCTCCGACTCAAATACTTCAGGCGTCACACTTGGAAATATTACTGAGGGAATTCTTTAAGCCCGCCAAGTTGACCTTTAATTTAAATACTTTCAAAAAATTCTTATATATCTGCAAAGAGACTTTTAATAGAGGACTTAATACGAAAATTTATTTCTGCAAAGGGACTTGTAATCTTTTCGCTAAATTTAAAAAAACGAGTCGATGTGTCTGAAAATATCATAATCAAACTGGTCAAGCTTCGAGTCTCAGATTAGAAATCATTTATATAGAAATAATTAAAAAGCCTCAGGTTTTTTCTCAAACAAACTCTAGTCTCGAAAAAAAGTAGAATATTGATATCGCCAAAATATTTTAAAGCACATACAAGCACATTTTACAGCATTTCTGTACTCTCTCAAAATGTTCGGCTTCTGGTTGTTAAAGGATATGGATTTTGCAATGCATTTGGCATATTCCTAGCACTCACCTCTTTATATATGGTATATCCATCGAGAGCTGCCAATGTCAAGAGGCAGAGCACAGTCACGCTGAGCAGGCATGTCTCCAGCTCAAAGATCTCCTCATTGAAGGCCACCTCGGCCAGCTCATCGATGCGCAGAAGGAAAATCAACAATTCCATGGCAATGCTGCCGTACAAAAAGACTGCAAAATGAGGCGACATTTGATTAATTTATCTGGCATCAAATTATCGGTCACACGGGCAGACACAACCGCACGCACCTGTCATTTTTTTGCGCTCCAGCACACGATGATAACACATTAGCATAATTGTCAACAGGATGGCGGCCAGGGCATTCCACACGGCGCCCGCACCGATAATAATCAGAACATTCAGCTCCTTGGGCGTCGAGTCGAAAAGCTGGTACAGCTGCTCCGCATTGCGCTGGGGCAGTAGACTCCTGGCCAGCTCCAGACTATTAATGGCCAGCAAAAGCAGCGAAACAGCTGCGCGCAAATTGTGAAATGCTAGCAAAGTTTTATGGCACCTGCAACGAAAGCGGAAACGTTAAATACGAATAGTGAAATAGATGGAAAAGGTGGAAACTGGGAATCGGTAAATAGAATACGCACTTGCCACTAGGCAGGCAATGGGCAAGGTTCAGCGCATAAATAGCACAATATCAACAATTTTTGGTTTAATTAAGTGGAGTGCGAGACCAACACACAACAACCATCTGGCCTTAGTACCACACCACAGTCTGTGTGTGCCTGTTCAAGCGTTCTTTGTAATTGCCACAATTATATTCAAGTGCTCATGATGATTCTCCTTGTACAGGCCGGCCTCCACGTCTGCTTGTTGTTGTCCTTCCTGCTGCCCGGCCATAATCTTAAGTGTGATGTATGGCGCCCACTTGAGTTTTGATTGCATTGCCTTGGTTTTGATTTAAAATTAGCCAACAAACTTTTAATAGCCATTAAGTGGAGTCTGACTGTGTATTTGCCAAAAAGTGTGCGACACCAACATAAGGCCGCGTGCTCATTCGCCTTTTCAGATTCGTATTGTGCACACAGTCAGCAAACTAAAAGTCTAATTTATCATTTAGGCTCAAGCCTTTTTCTAGTTTCTCAGATTGAATGCTGGACAACTATTAACATTTACCAGCTTCGCCGATTAACGATAGAATCCGTCGCTAAATGGAATTTCATACGGAAAGCCTTTCTGTACTCGATCAATATTCGCCTCAATATTCTCCTATATATCTGCAAGGCTGTACATCATATCTGACAGCTATATCATATAACTCCTAACCGAGCAATACGTGGGAAATAAAACACCTTTCTAAATAAACAAGAGTATTAAATATTCAGCACACCGAAAATGGTCATAGTTTTTATACCCAGAACTCATTAAAAATGGGTATATTGTATTTGTGCAAAACCTAAATGTATGTAACAGGCAGAAGGAAGCAACTCCGACCCCATAAAGTATATATATTCTTGATCAGCACCAAAAGCCGAGTCGATCTAGCCATGTCCGTCTGTCCGATTGTCCGTATGTATGCACGCTAGGCTCTCTGAACCTATAAGAGCTAGAGAAATTTTAGATGTAGGTGCTCCTAGTGCCTGCGCAGATCGAGTTTGTTTCCGATAATCGATAACCTACTCCGCAATCGATAAAAAGCGATATCGATATTCTGTTTTTTGGGCAATTTTGGTAAATAACAAGAGCTCGAGTCACCAAACTTGACATATAGCTTCTAAAATAGAATATATATATGTATTTGATGTTGTTAGAAGAGGTTCAGGGTATCCCCTAGTCGGGAGCTACCGACTAGAACCTCTTACTTGTTTTGTAATTAAAATCTGATATTTTAGGAGCTGCAAATAAATACATTTAAAAGTTAAAGCTGTTACTTTTAACTAATGTTAACTAAAAACAGGAAGCAAGAATTGGCGCTCGCTGGCACGATATAAGTACGATAAGTCTGTAGTAGAAATTGTCTTTGGGCCATTTTATATCTATTGCCAAGTCAATGATATAAAATTCTAAAAATGTGCTTCCTCTTCGGTAGTTTTTCACACAAAATATATTTAATGATGTGCAAAAGTGTGGCATACTTTTTGGCTGCACAACGTGAACATTTACACGTTTGCACATGGAACCCAAAAGGCAAACTAGCTCGCAGATGGGTGATAGAGAGCGCAGAGGGGGATAGGGGGGGGCAGACAGTTAACCTGCGTCCGCAATGCCGTTGAAATATTATTTATTGCGAATACTGTTGCATACTATTTGGCGCAGTGGCGCCCGGCCCAGTGCACAGGAGTATAGTATATAAAAGTTTTGGGCCTGGAATATATTTTTTTAGGGTGGGGGGAGGGGGTAGTCAGGGAAAGGTGCCCAAGCAATTGTGGCTTGATTTTAATTTTTTAGCGTGCCGCCAAAATTGTTGGTGTTTTATATATTTTTGGTCGCGGGAAGTTGGCTATTTTATTTATTGTGCTCACAAGGCTGTCTATAAATTTAATGAAAAATGCCTGCCTTGACAGCAGACAAAAGACAGACGACAACAGTCGAGAGTCGAGCCCGACAAGCGACGCTTACATATTAATTACATTTTTGACCGCTCTAAAAGTGCATAAATAATTGATTTTAATTTTTTTTTTTTTTTTTTTTTTTTTTTAAAAACTGGACATTGTGCGCATTTTTTTGGCTTTTCGATTCTTGCTGCATTTTATTGTCGTTTTTTCAGCGTAACAAAACAATGTGCATTTAAATGCAGCACACCAAAGAACATAATAAAAAATTCAAAGCTATTTGAAATTGTTTACAAATTTTCATATCACATTGTTCGTTTTTGGTTCAGGTGCAGCATTTTTTATTGATAGGCAGTTTGTTTGCACTTGTTGTAATATTTTGCAAATTAATAGTCGTTGATTGAAAATTTCGAACAGCTCCATAATTTGTATGTGTTGGCCGTGCACGTATCCGTGTGGATATCTATATGATTTTGACGAATTTTTATTTTCCAGCTTGCAAATGTGATAAATGATAAATGCTGAAAGTTCAATTATTTTAGCTATCGTTTTCTACTGTAAAATACACAGGCTGGTAGATTTAAGCGGACTGTCGTCTTTCCTTTATTCAAAACATATAAGATGATTTATTAAAAAATATATACTAGTAAATTAAACAAGTAAGAGGTTCTAGCCGGGAGCTCGTGACTAGGGGATACCCTGAACCCTCTTCTCCCAACATCAAATGCATATATGTATATATTCTATTTTAGAAGCTATATGTCAAGTTTGGTGACTTTAGCTCTTATGATTTACCAAAATTGCCCAAAAAACAGGATATCGATAACGATTTTTATCGATTGCTTGGAAACGGAGTAAGTTATCGATTATCGGAAGAAAAAAAACCGATCTGCGCAGGCACTGGGAGCACCCTCATCTAAAATTTCAAGTCTCTACGTCTTATAGATTCTGAGATGCTTGTGTTCATACATACGGACAGACGGACAGACGGACAAACGGACAGACAGACAGACGGACATGGCTAGATCGACTCGGCTATTGATGCTGATCAAGAATATATATAATTTATGGGGTCGGAGATGCTTCCTTTTGCCTGTTACATACATTTGGATTTTGCAAAAATACAATATACCCTTTTTACCCATTTTTAATGGGTTCAGGGTATAAAAATTATAAGGTATATTCCTGACCAGCATCAACCAAGTCAAGCTGACATGTCCATATCCATATCCATCTGTTTGTCCATAGGCTAAGAGTCTCTTAGTTTGAGGCTTAAAGTACATTGGACTACAATAACACATGGCCACCATCGGTCGAAGATAAATTTAAATACTTTAGGCATTTATATAGTAATATTAAAACAAACGTCCAACTATCAAGACCATAAATCAAGATGAGGCAATATTGAGTTCACGCACAATTGTTGAATGCCTTCTAAAAGACACAACAAACTTTTAAGACAATATTCCGTAGAGCCTTCTTTTAGCTAATGTAGTGTAATTGAAAGGCATTGACAAATATTTCGTTTAAGTGTTAACTTAAATATGATTATAAATCAGCTACTTTCTAGCTAAATTTGGCTATTGTCCAAGTCGCTGGCGAGACAAATACCTGCAAATTGTCGTTTTTCAAGACTTTTCTAAGCGCTTTTCTAAATAGGCGCTTAATCCTCAGCCAAATCTATCTACTGGCTTTCAACAAAACTCCGCCTAAGGAAACAGCTTATTGCACCATTTCCTTCCAGCCTTGCAATTCAGCAATTTTCAGATACTTTTAAAATTAGACCCGGCTACTTTTTGATATCGACATTTGGTACGATGATCGCCAGACACCTGAACGAGACCTTTGAAAGCCTATTGAAGCGCTTCATAGTTGAGTAAACGAATAACAAGTGAGAACAATATCAAAACACAATTGCGCACTCAGTTGAAATGCAATTTCTTGTTGCCTGATTTGCTGGAGAACATTGTACAACAACTTTTTCACTCGATGTGTGAAAGAATGTTGCATGACACACAGACAGAGCAGCCCCGGCCCCAAATAAAAGTCCACCCTCCCGTCGTGAATTGTGTGTGCCTGGTCGTCGGTTTACGTAATGCAACAGTGGCAAATTAAGAAATCTAATAAAATGTAAAATACACTCGAGTCCACACTCGAACGCTGAAACACATACAATAAAATATACGCCTGCCCACACTCAAATTGGAGCAACTGATTTGTTTACCAAATTATCCAAAAATATCAGAAAATTGCACCGAAGTGCTGTTGCGAGTGGCAGTTGCAGTAGTTGCTGCTGTTGCTGCTGTTGCAGTTGCAGTTGTTGTTGCAGCTACGGCTGCTGCAGGTCTCGCCTTGGCACGGGGCGCTATTTCTCAAGTGCCGGATGTATTATGGCCATCGGGAGTTGATTTTTTATGAATGAGCTGGGCACAAATGAATGCACTCACGAGTGTGCCGAACGAGTGCAATTCATTGTTTTTGTTGTTCTTGTTGTTGTTGTTGTTATTGTTGTTAATGCGTTTGATTCAAACTGTTTATTGCCTGCGCATCCTTACATTTGGTGAGTGAGTTATTCAACAGTACTTACAATAATGCATTAAGTTCTATTAGTTCCGGATATCAATGATATTTTAAATGAATTCAAGTGGCTCTTAGATTATTTTGGAATGTATCTCAAGTGTGAGGTTGTGTGGCATAAATTCAAATAAATCAATATTGTTAATGTAAATCTGCTCAAATTATGGTCTATTTTTACACTCCAAAGTCCAAACTTAGCTCAACTCAGACATTTGTTTGGGTATCTTAATTATACAAATATTAAATAGTCTCTGATTTGCCAAGCTGATTAGGCTGGCATTAGTTTGCCTAAGCATCTAATAAACATATTAGCATAGAAAGGGGAACTTATGGGAAAGAGAAAATAATGTTTGTCCAATACAAGAGATCAAAGCTATTTCTATGCCCTTTTGGGCAGTTATCTGAAAAGAGTTAAGCATCACAATTGTTAACAATATTTTAGATCTTGATTTTTTAATGTAAAGCTATTACCCTGAACTTTGCTACTCACGCACATACGGATACTATATTTGTGCCCTAAAAATATCATAAATCGATCTGTTTTCATTTACAAAAATTTGTGTAAAAGGAAGTTCGAATGCTTATTGCGGCAGCTCAGAGCTGGTTTCGGAGTTCAGGGTGTCTCCTAGTCGTTATTTAAATAATTTATTTTCTTTAACTAGAAAAAGTCCTTAAAGTGTTATATAAGTTGCATTCAAATGTGTTTAAAAAAAGAAACTAAAACTAAAACCAAGAATGTAAGCCCTTGGAAAACCAATTTTGTCAATACAATTGGCCAAATAAATTTTCAAATTTTTGCTCCTTAAATAATTATTATTATAAAAACTACTTATTAGCAAGTCGTGGGACCTTATTGTATAATTAAAACATTAATTATTTATATTGATGCAGTAAAAACCAAGTAGCATGAAGTGAAAGAGCCTGTAGCTCTTGATAGCATAAATATTTCCACATTCCACATTCCTAGGCGTTTGTCTATGGGCTTACTTCAATTAAGTCCATTGAATTGACCGCAGATAAATATGACAACAAATATTGAAATGACAATGCGGACAACTGTTTTATGTTTTGCTGGCTGCCTGTTGTCGCCTCGGCTGCAGCTGCCGGGCCAGGCCAGGCCAGTCAAACAGATGATGAAGATATATGCGCATATTGAATGACCAATGACCAATGATCCGGCAAGCCAATGCTTCAATGCTGCAATGCTGCAATGCAGCAGCCGCACACTTCATTTGCGAGCTGTTCAATGATGACAAGTCCGAATAACCAAAACAAGCCAAGGCAATCGAAACGATTCCAACGAAATTCCTATGAATACTTGCGCGCGCTCTCCTCTTGATTACATGCTTGTTTGTATGCAAACTGGAGTAAACTTTTATTAATTGAGCTGGGCAAATGTATACATACAAAACAATATGCCATATAGATAGATACAGGCACATCAAGAAGAGCACAACGATGACGACGCAGTGCAGCCACAGTCGGTCGCACAGTTGCAAACGCCGCCACCTCCGACATCGTTCAATGATCCACAAACAGAAAATATATGCGACTATTGAATACGCTCGTCAGGCAGAACCGAGCAAACCGATCTGAAGGGAACAACTATGTGGCTACCTCTTCCTTCCAATATAATGACACCCAAATAAACAGAGCCCAACGCAAACTAATATATTTTAAACAAAACTTAGGCTTAGGTGCCCAACTTAACCAAAATCCCATCCGGGCTTTATATATATACATTTAAGAAACAATCTTTCCATTACCAACTTGATGACTTCTTGCAAGAGTATCTTTTCGCCGACTTTATCAATTTTGTCTTAACTAGGTCCACAGTATTTATGAATTTGTTGGACTTTTTCGTTTGACTTATGTGACGGCTGTCAGTAAATAATTCAAATGATTTTGCAACTAGATTTAGATTTCATGTTTTGTGTCGTCGTCGTCGTCGTTGTCGGCGCTAAATGGAAATGTATCTTTTTATATGTATGTATTTACTTTTATGTATCTACAGATACGTATCTGCATCTGTGCTGCTGCAGTCAGTCGGTCATTAGGCAAGTCTCTGGGGACGTCTAAAAGCCAATTCCAAATCATGGGATTTTATAAATATAATTTAAATGGTTTACTGAGAAAATATATATGGTATATAATATGCAGAGTAATTTTTGATTTCATTGTTCGTATTTTGTTTTTTGGGCTCAGCCACATTTATTTCAACAGCTGGCCTAGCGCCACATGAGTAATACGTCCCCCCCACCCATCAAACATGCCCACCAACCTCCTATATTTATATACAATGAGTGCGTCGGGTAGCTGCCTTTGCATATTGTTTATAAACGCATGCGCTAAATTTAAATAAAAGTTTCCAATTTGTTTATGTGCCTAGAATATGCACATGCTTTTAGTCATATCTCTTGTGCCAAAAGGGCTGCGGCTCTGCGCATTCAAATCTGATCGGAAACATAGAATTGCGAGCTGCCAATAAGAATAAAATACCACGATTCCATTTGGATTAACATTTTAATTTTTGTTTTTGAAAATTATACACACACTAAAATAACATATACGAGCGACAAGTACACGATATACGGCAAACAGAATCCTGTGGACACAAAAACCGAAACGTCAAATTTGCATATGAAATATATGCAGAGCCAAGTGTGGATCTTACCTAAAAAATCAACGAGCTCCTTCCTGTGATCGCATCACTTCTAGACCATGTCGCATATGTAGACCCCTGCGCAATGGCAGCGACAAACATGATTTGGATCCGCACTGGACAAGATTACGGCCCACAGATGGTATCATGGAGCGCATCAGGACGGGCACAATTACCTTAAGTACTAAACCTAACATTTTAGAAACAAATACGCTCAAAACAATGCACTAACGAATAAATTTTTTCAACTTGAAATGTGAACACGTGTGCACATCAATGCCTCTATGAAAACTAAATTTATTCGTATTTCTAAATACATGTAGCACGAATTGAAATCTCAAGGGCTGCCCCGTTGCAAGTTCAATTTAACTGGCTAACAAATCAGCTTTACTTCTTTTTAGATACGCTCGGTGGCAAAACAAAAGGAACAAATTCTTTCCCAACCGTAATTGGACTATTCTTGCAAAATAGTTGTTCTATTCGTCATAAAGAAACAAATTTTCTTATTAGAATCAGTCAGCATTAGGTTTCGAATCCTCGAAAAAAAAAAACGATATATTAATTTAAGACCAACCTTGTGGAATTATGTGAAAGTCATCGTGAATCTTTTCTATGTGAATGTGGATCTCATTGAGCCTAAGTATAAGAACTAACGATCACCCGGCTTTGCCCAGCCAAGCGTTTTCTGCCAAATTTGGCAGAATTTTCAAAAGCAATTTAAGCAGAAATATTCCTTTTAGTTATACGACCGTTTAAACGAGTTTAATTTATATAGAAGTACATTTAAAATATGCTCTGAAATTTTAGGACATGTAGGCAACAATGAACATCACGAATCGGGCAGTTCCTTAAATCATCCAGCATATCACGGGTTGTTCTTTGGAATCGCCAGAAGTTACGGCAACAGGTACCCTGGTCAGCGCTTCCAAAGCGTCCGTCCCAACGAATATCCCTTGGACATCTGCTGTAATATTACGGATTTTGATCGACTTTGCACCAGATTGCGACCCACAGTGGGAAGAAGCGTTCGCAACAGAATAGGCATAACAACTTTTGAAATAGTAGGGGGCGGCATATTTAAAAAAAAACAAATTTGAATTAAAGAACTAAAAAAAACGTTTAAAAAAATTACAAAATTTGTGTAAAAGGCACACAAAAGATTGTTTTCAACTGGAGATCTATAATACGAATGAACATTTCTGGATATAAAGCATATGAAAGTTGATTTTTAATTTTCAAGGGCTGCTTGGTTTCAAAATTGTGGAGAAATTTCGAAAAATTTTTGTACGAAAATAGGACAATAATTACACAAAAGTGTTCAATAAATTAGTCACGAATTTTTCCAATTAATATTCCAATATGATTTTAAAATAGCTTTAGCTCGAGTTAAATATTATAAAAATAAAATATTGAAAGAGAACATGCGGCATTATAATATAAATACTCATGTATGTAGGGCACATTTTTCATCAATGAGATATACTATATATGCACACATACGTATATAAAAGATTTTCAAAGTACACATGCAAATTCAATTCGGAAATAATCGACAATTCGGAGTATATAAGAAGACTTTTTAAATATTTGTTTTTAGTTGAAATGCTTAACTAGTTAGTTTAGAGTGCATCAGACTTACGCGTCATATTTTCGCCACACATAAATGGATCCAACGAATAGCATCAATATGGAGAAACAGGTCGAAATGTATTTGACACGATCTATGCCACAAATATCGGTTTGCAGATTATCATATGTATCACGCGAATGACCACTCAACTGATCGCAGCGTATAAGATTAAAGAATTGTACCATTTTCGTGTAATGCCTGGAGAACTATATTAGCATTAATTTAGAACCTTAAAACACCATAAGACAAGTTTAAGTGTTTGATTAGGCACATCATTTCGTTTTATTTTTTAAATATGTTTTAGATATCATTTTAGATCCACATCGTATATAGAGTACATCCGAGTGCCAATTTTGCGCACCGAAAATTCAATATTTAGAAACCGCACAGAAAATCGAAAATGTAAACAAATTATTTCGCAATTACAATTATACACATTAACTTATTCATAGATGCTATTGTACTTCAATTTTCCAAACGAAATTTCGTATTTCAGATACACACAATGTATTTATGTAAGTCGACGGAATAAAGTATGTACATATGTATCTATATATGCATGTACATAAAACGCATGCCGCATGTACGTTTTACTTGTGATTATGGGATTTTATCGTAATTATTTTGAATATAAACAAAATAGCAGAGACATTAAAAGAAATATGCGCACGTTTCGACTGATTCGAAGAATGCCGAAAAAGTTCCCGTTAAATGCTGCCCAACCGTCTGCAGCCGAAGAACGCAACGTACTGAAAGAAACGGTAAACACATGTGTTAAAGAACACTCGTTGAGAAGCTGTGCGTGCTTCAAAAACGGCGAGAGAGCGAGAGGGAGAGAAAGAGAGCAAGCATGCACGTGCAAGATCGTGCAAAAGCTCTCGCGTATGTCTGTTATTCTTATGCATACCCTGTACCAGTTAGCACTAGGCAAACAGGTATGCCCGACTAAAAAATAAGATAATAATACATATACAAAAGGCATACAAGAATATGCATACAATTTTTAAACAATAATAGCCTTTCCGATTGAGATACATTTTGCCGGTCACAAAAACGTGTATTACCAACTGACACTAAAGTCAGACTACCATATATATTTTTCATTTATTGGGTATTAATGGTCCCTTGCAATGGATTGCCTGTATGCTTTGGACAGCGGCAGGCTTTACCTTTTCAGCTAGTTGCCTAATTTTTTTGGGCATCTGAAAACGTAAACGAAGCAAGCGGTAGAAATGCGTCTTAGCCTTAGGTTGCTTAACAAAATTCTACAAATCCCAAATTTATGCAAAAGAACAGCTCAGCGTAAGGAAAGCAGCTTGAGTACTGGACGATTACAGCCCATTGTGCTGGTGCATGGTGGAGCTGGGTCTATAGACGATGCCAAGGTGCCGGGCATTAAGATTGGCATTAAGAGAGCAGCCCGCAGTGGCTACAAGCAGCTACAGCAGACGGGCAGCGTTTTGGACGCTGTGGAGCAGGCAGTAAAATCGTTGGAGGATGATAGCCACTTTAATGCCGGGTATGGAAGCGTACTTACCTGGGAGGGCACCGTGGAAATGGATGCTGCCATAATGGATGGCACTGAAATGGAGGCCGGCTGCGTCTCTTTGGTCCGTGATATAAAGCATCCTATAACGCTGGCCAGGTGTGTCATGGAGAAGTCACGGCATCGCTATTTGGCTGGCGATGGCGCTATGCAACTAGCCCGGAGCGAAGGATTCGATATACTGCCCAAGGCGGCGCTGATAACAGAAATTGCACAAAAATCGTTAAACGATTACAAAGTACGCAGGAATAAATCGGAAAATTGCAAGCTTCCCATTCCACCAGGTACCGTTGGTGCCGTGGCAATTGATGCCTTCGGCAATGTGGCAGCAGCGACATCAACAGGTGGCACGATGGGAAAACTACCAGGCCGGATTGGTGACTCGCCACTGCTGGGTGCTGGCACCTATGCAGATAATGAGATTGGCGCCATATCAGCCACCGGACATGGCGAGACCATAATGCGTTACAATGTTGCCTCGCGCATATTGGCACTGGTGCAGCACAAGAATTGTACAATACAACAGGCAGCCGAACAAGTGCTTCAACAGATGACCTTGCGTTTTAAGGAAACGGCTGGCATAATAGCTATTGATCACCGGGGACAGCTGGGCATATACTTTACAACGCCGCGCATGTCTTGGGCCTATCAGAAGGGAGAGGAGCTGCACAGCGGTATCCAAGCGGGCGACAACCAGATCGAGGTTGTATGCGACGAATCCTAAGCTGACAGAAGTACATACATAAATGGCGTTTTTATAATTCAATGTTTTCTTAATTTATTTACAAACTTAAACATACCTCGCAAATACAAAAAGCCAGCGACAAAATGAAGATTATTTGTTAAACAGAGCAGAAATAATCACAGCTACCGCACATCGCAAACAAACGGCTGCTCGAAGAGTCCGCTTCAATGAAGAAGCGCAGCGCCTGGGTGCAGCTGAGTTCATGCTCGTTGACCTTCTGCTGAATCAGTGCCTGCAATTGTGGCTTTTCTGCGCTATGCTCAAAGTGTACTCCGCAGTCGCATGTGTACAGCGATTTGATGCGCTGCATCGACTTTATCAAGCATACGGGACAGATTAATGAAAGGACATTGGCTTCGGCATCGAGCTCAGTGTACAGTGCTTCCAAGTGCTGCTCCTGGAGGGCATACCATTCGTTGACGTCGCTGAGGAGCTCCTCAAAGACATGCTGCTCCAATTGTAAATTCTGATCCAGCTCGTTGAGCTCTAAACGCAAAATGTCTTCCAGCTCCGACTGCAAACCAATTAGTTAAGTTAATTAATTGGTGTCTTTAGTTGTTCTAGTTACCAACTGCATTTTCCGATTGCCATCGACCTTGTCCTTCCGTGCATTTAGAATGCGTATACGACATTTCTGTTAAATAAATAAACAATTTGCATTTGTTTCCAAGTATCTCATTTTCTGGCTTGGGGCTTACCTCCCGAAGTAGTTCACGCAATTTTGGCATGCCCAAGCGTTGTTGTTTAGCCACATTTTGTGCGTGCCGTTTCTGCTCGACACTTGTATGGTAGACGGGACTGCTGGGACACTGCATTCTATTAAATTTCCAATAATACCAATAAAAATGAAGGCTAGACACAGAATGCGAAATGCGCGGGCGAGCACCACCAATCCCAGCTGTTCATTTATCGATAATTGATAACATTTGATCGAAATACAACACTATTGTAATCACGGCGCACCACAACACTGCCGCACAGGGTTGCTTTGACTATGTTTTGACATTCGGAACATGGCGTACTTCAAGCTTCCGCTCTTTCTTTCCCTTTCTTTTACCAACGTGCATAGTGTCGAGTAAAAGGTTAGTGTTACATTTTCAATTTTCCCAACGAGAACCGCTCTAAAATGTTCAAAATTTGTGCCTTAAACAGATGCCAGCCCCGGCCGCTAAGAAACCAGCAGCTAAAAAGCTGCCCGCTGTGCCGGAATCCAAGCTTAAGTTCAGCAAGAAACAAATCAGCAAGCGTGTTTCTGAGACGAAACGTCGCCTGAAGCGTGCCGCTGTCATTGCCCTGCGCAAGAAGGAGAATCTGGTGCGTGCCCAGAAATACCAAAACGAGTACATCAAGGCCGATCAGCGTGAGATTAAGCTGCGCCGCTTGGCCAAGAAGCGCAACCAATTTTACGTGCCCGCAGAGGCCAAATTGGCATTTGTCGTGCGTATCCGTGGGTAAGTGAATTTGTCACCAGTCAACCCATGTTGTTATTGTTAATGTGTCATTGTTAAATGTGCTTTGCAGTATCAACAAGGTTGCACCAAAGGTGCGTAAAGTGCTGCAGCTGTTCCGCTTGCGCCAGATCAACAATGGCGTGTTCATTAAACTGAACAAGGCCACCATCAATATGCTGCGTATTGCTGAGCCTTACATTACCTGGGGCTATCCCAATCTGAAGTCGGTGCGCGAGCTGATCTACAAGCGCGGCTTTGTCAAGCACAATCGCCAGCGTGTGCCCATCACCGATAACTTCGTTATCGAGCGCAAGCTGCGCAAGGCCCATGACATTCAGTGCGTTGAGGATCTGGTCCATGAGATCTTCACTGTGGGACCCAATTTCAAGTATGCCTCCAACTTCCTGTGGCCATTCAAACTGAACACGCCCACCGGCGGCTGGCGCAAGAAGGCCAATCACTACGTCAACGGTGGTGACTTCGGCAATCGCGAGGACAAGATCAACAGATTGCTGCGCAAGATGGTCTAAGGCAGCGTTTCGCAGTGTAATAGTTTAAAACAAAAACGGTCTGGCAACAGCGAAAGAAATAAAATTAACTCTTTTTATGAAAGTACCAAAATGCCGTTCACAAAATCCTGTGTTTTCACATTTATGGTCGACAAGCTAAAATACAAAATAAGCGAAGAGGCACAAGTAGAGACGTTCGTCTAGGCCAGGATAGCTGGGAGAGTAAACGTATATGATAAATAATGAACAGTCTTGGAGTACATTGGCATCTTCTACCACATTCATTTGTTGTATTCCCGATAATAACCGAGTGGGTTTCGTTATTTCCGTTCGCTATTCCGATTCCGGGCAAACCAATCTTCCAGCTCTGTAGCAGAAATTGGCTTTGTACTCGGTACCTTTAAAAAATTAAATCCAACACTTTTATTTTTGTTAGTTATTTTATTCTCTTCTCTTCAATACTTTGGGAGAATTCACATCTAGCGAGTACAACCGACTGTCAAATACTCTTACAGTCCGCTACATCTTAAACTCTCTCCTGCCTATCGTCCGAAAATCAGTTGAAGAACTTTTTGGCAGCTCATCAGTAATAATCTTTATTTGAAGAGAAACATTGTGGATGTACATTGAAAAACCCAACACTTTTCTTTACAGTGTAAGCAAGTGAAAAAGTAAAATACCTGGCTTATCTCTTGAGTCTGTGCGATTTCCAAACACGGTTAATGAAAACAAGTTGCAAGTAATTGAGAATTAATATATACACTAAACTTTATTTCTAATACATGTGAAAAAATTGTTAAAATGCCAGCAGTAATTGGGTCTGTTTCAAACGGCCATCTCCATTGGAATCGCCTTATCGGGATTGTAGCCAACAATTTCAAAATCCTCGTAGCAAAAGTCCTCGATATTTGTAACCTGGCGCTTAATGTTGAGCTTGGGAAAAGGCTTGGGGCTACGTTTTATCTGCTGCTGCAGCGGTTCTATATGGTTAAGATAAACGTGAGCATCGCCTATGGTGTGGATGAATTCACCGGGCTTCAGACCCGTCACATGGGCTATTAAATAAGTGAGCAGAGCATAGGAGGCAATGTTGAAGGGAACACCGAGACCCATGTCAGCGCTGCGTTGATATAGCTGGCAGGACAATTCGCCCTTGGACTGCGAGACAAAGAACTGAACCAGGCAATGGCACGGCGGTAGCGCCATTTTGGGTATATCCATCGGATTCCAGGCGGACATGATAATGCGACGATCCGAGGGATTGGTTCGTATCGTATGTATCACTTGCTGTAATTGGTCAACACCCTGGCCGGTGTAATCGTCATCGCAAGTGCGATACTCGGCGCCAAAGTGACGCCACTGGAATCCATAAACCGGACCCAGATCCCCGACAGCCCGATCGGTGTGGCCGCAGTTGTCCAGAAACTCGCGCGTGCTGTTAGCATCCCATATGTGGACTTTCTTTGCCTGCAATATCTTGGCATCGGTCTTGCCGGCAATGAACCACAGCAGTTCCTCGGCCACGCCCCGAAAGAATACACGCTTCGTGGTCAGCAGCGGAAACGATTTACGCAAATCGAACCGCATTTGGGCGCCAAAAATTGACAGTGTACCCACCCGAGTACGATCGACGCGCTTATCTCCATTCTTAATAATCCTTTCTATAAAAAGCAAATACTGCTTTTCATCCATGTTCTCACAGCTGGCAGCATCTTTGAACTGTTCTGACATCCGGCTATCCTGGTGATTCTCCTTCATGTGTTCTGACCTCTTGCTCGGCGAGATGTCCATTGCATTGCAGTCCATACGCCTTTTCAGTACGGCGGCTGAATCTTTGCTCGGAGATTCTGCATTTTTACAGGGGCTCATCATTTTCGTTAATCTACAAATAAGTTTTGATTGAATGTTATATTCGACTTTCCGCAAAGAGCTTTGCTTGGCCTTTGCCAAATTCGCGCCAAAACCCGGCGAAAAGCGCGCATAACTGAATTCAAAATACAACCCTGTGCCTTTTTTAAGACTTGCATGCGATATTGATAAATAATAACAGCAAAATTCAATAAAAATATTTTAAAGATGCATACTTGTGTTAAATATTAAAATTAAATTTAACTTTTTGCATACCTTAAATTTTCTGCCGTGTCTTGAAAAAATGTTGGTAAACATCTGTAAAATTATTTAAAAGCTAAGACTATTGAATAAACAATTGATTTAGATTTCATGGATGCTACAAAAAAAATAATAAGGACCGATGTCCAATTTTGACAATATTCTTTTGCTCGTGCAAAGTAATATCAATTGTAACTCTCAATCTAAGGGAATTCTTTGCAGTCGAACGGGTGTTTATGAACCTATCTTTTCGTACAGATCTAAAATATATATTATTTATGTAAGATATAATAACTCTTGAAAAGATATATAAAAAAGAATCAGCTGTCCATCAGATAAGTTGGTGCCTGAACGAGGTGTCACTATCGCCATGTTTTATATTCAGATAAGAATTACACGAAGAGTAGCAATTCGATAAATATATCATCGACACTATCGATAGTTTTGTATCTTCATGGTGGAGTATGCCCGACGGGATTTGAAAATCTTGACAGGCAATTTAAGCTACAATTTGCTGGAAATATTCGTTAGATACAATTTCAATCGTCAATCTCAAAAACTCTTTTTCTCATAATAATCTAGTTTCAGCGATGATTATAATAACTTCTTAAAATATTTCATTTTTAGGTTTCCTTTGCAAACTTTTGAGCAGAAGATAAAATGTCCGTATTTCTTTGTATACTTATTTGTAAGCTTGTTAATTTTCTTGTGTTTAATCTATCCTTAGGCACAAATCAAAAAAATCCAACCTTTTCAAATAATGTTTATTTTCTTGCGATTTGTATGGAATTCAGAGTTGGTCGCATTCTTAAAAATCTGTTTCAAAACAATTTCGAAATGGTCAGTAATACGCAGACAATTAACAATTGTTTGTTGGATGCCGTTTGAAATCAAATTAATGAAATGGTTAATATATATTTTTTGCCTCACAGCTGGCAGTGTTTGCAATGCATTTGATAATAGTGAAAGTTGCAAAGTATTGCAAATACTTTCACATGAAACGAATCGCGAATAAATACAAAAGCATCGAAGTAAATGTAGAAACAGCAATCCGTTTACAAAATATGCCATTTGCTGGTAAATTGTTTTCAAAACATATGTGTGGTTGTTTATAAAGCATTTTACATATGTACTTAGTTTATATGCTAACGTTATTATGCGCCATTGTCTCTGTTTTATAGATTGTGTTGATTTGTGCATTCCTCCCTACTGATGTGTTGTGGTTACATGTATATTCTGTACCAGGCGCTGACCCCAGTACTCCTCCAGATTGAATGGCTTAAAATTTTTCAATTGATTATCAGATTCGTTGCAATATATAACAGGCGTACCCTGTTCGCTAACCTGTTAGTAACCAAAGGAAATGAGAAAACATTAGCGTTAAGCACGATCGGAAAAAGTCCAGCACTTACTTTATTCCAAGCCTCGCGAATGTAACGTATTAATTCGTCGTGCTGCGATATGGGCACAGCCGACGGCTGTTGTTGTTGTTGTTGCGACACCGCTGCATACAGCACATTAGTGTTTGTTGCGGCATTATTAATGCTATTATTGGAGTATTGTGTGCTGTGCGGCGATGTGTTTGTCACGGATGCCGGAGACGGCGAAGATGACGACGACGTTGTCGATGAGTTTGCGTTATTATGGTGATGATGATTGTGTGGTCCATTGCCGCTGCCTTGGCGGCGAATATAGGGATAACGTCTGGAATAATATTAGGTTAGCCAAGTCAGTTTACCCCAACATCGCAATTATTGCATTTGTGCACATATATACACATCTACACGCACACAGCCGCAAACACTGTGTGTTTACTTTTTTTCAATTCGTATGCGTCACGAGCTATGCATAGCATAAACTCCTTGTATGTGGCGTGGAAATATCAGGCTTACCCATTGTTGCGTTCCATTATGTTTTTGTATTAATTAAAATATTGCTTTTGTTGGTTGTTTTTGTTTATCACACACGTCCCAATTCTATTATTGGGAGTATTGTGAGCTATTTTTTTTCTTTTCGTTGTTGCATTTGACAGAATTATCGATAACACAGACGGTATCGATTTCGACATACGCGTTGGCAGTGCCAAATGTCGCTAGTTAACAGCATGCTAAAATAATTTAACAGCAGTCGTTGAATAAAACCGTTATAAATGTATTATAAAAAAACGTTTGTTTCCACATTTTCATTTTACGTTTATTCTATAAAATTCATAACATATATATTTTGCTCAACTGTTAATAATAAACGTAAAAAATAGCTGCGCATATGCATAGGCATATACTTACAATATTTAAAGGAAATGTCGAGTAACCATATAAAAATGTTTTTTTTTTTTACAAAAGAATTACCATATATAAGTATATAGTTCTTACTGAGCATTCTTAAACACAACACATTGTTATTTAATCAATTATCATTTAGACAATATGATCATCTCATATGTATTTTGATAATAAAACTACTTTTGTCTTTAACAGAATAAAATGCACATTTCGAGTTTCATATTTGTCGTTAAATTTGGCAGCACCAAGGAGAGGAAGGAAGGTAGGGAGGGAGGGCACGGAAAGTATAGCAGAATTCGTTAATTACCTCTATGCCTTTGTGCTGCATTTTTAAATAATGCATTATTAATAACAGTTAGATTTGTGCTAACAGTTACAATTTGCTTAAAAACTATTTTGGCGACGCACTGTTTACGAATGAACTAAACAACAAATTTTTTATATACTTACAACATTCACACATTTTATATTAGTGCTGGAAAACGATCAAAAAGCTGAGCACTCTCGTTATCAATTGAAGTATTTCAGAGGAAGTCAATGTAATGGAAAAACTAACGTCCGATCATGTTTGAGATTGAGGACTAAAATGCTTCCACTGATCGATTTGCTTTCCAGATCCAACAGAAAGCTAACATACATGTCATGCATCGACGTTCAGATTACAAATCATCGTCGCCAATGCCCTCGAATGCCTCATTGCGCACAGATGCCGCATTCTCGTCATTGCGAAAGAATACGGCCGCAAAGGTGCGAGCCGTTGTCAGCTTGTGCTGCTGCTTGCAACGCTGGGCTAGAAACTTGACAGGCGGCGTGGTTGTCGCTGTTGCTGTTGTCGTCGAAATGCCCGAAGTGGATGTGCAGGATGAGGATGAGACGGAGCTGGGCGTCGATATGGTCGATTCCGATGCGCCTCGAGATGTGCTTGCCTCGTGCTCATCATCGCTGCCGCCGCTGATGCTGCTGTCGATGTGCAGCAGTTCATCGACCATCGCTTGCAGCGATACAGACATGAGCATTGCTTGTTGGCTGGTGATGGTTATCCAGCGCAGAGTTTGCTTGGACATTAGATACTCAAAGGATAGCTGCAGTTGCGTCGGCTGATCCCGCGATTCGTACGTATTGTGCATGGCGCTGACCCGCCAGCAGCGCATGCGTGTGACCCTAAACTTTGTTTCGTAAATTTTAGTGCCACGCGCCGTACGCAAGCTGAGCTCCCGATTGCCTATGGTCACCAATGCCGTGGTGTCCACTTCCGGATAGTCCACTTGTGCGGCGCCGAACTGTAGACAGCCATAGGAGGGCAACTGACGCACAAGCTCCAAATATTGCAAGGGTCGAGCCTGCATCTGCAGGCTGCACAGCTGACGTCGCATTTCGGGCGTACAAATAACCCACTCGCGGGCCACATCCGCCAGAGTTTGATGGTAAAGTAAGTTGAGCGCCACACTGTTGCTCAGCAACTTCGCATCCCAGCGCGCGTTCCAGTAGCAGGTGCGCAAGAGCAATTGACAGGGCTGCGCATGCAAGCGCGTGATAAAGGGCGACTCAAAGTCCATCAGGCGGCGCAGCAGCAGCACAGCGGGCGGATCATCTGGCGAGGAGGAAGGCCCGTCGCCCGAGCCCACCTTCCGCATGAGATATAAACAAAAATATTGCATTAGCTCGACGGGCAGCTGCAGCATGCGACACACGCACTGCAGCAAAGCGCTAGCATTCTGCTGCACATGACAATTGACCAGCAACTGTACGCCTCCACCTTCCGATCCCGCTGCGCTGCCACTATAAACCTCCACCTGTAGCTGCTGCTGTTCATCTTCTCGGCTCACCGTGCACTCGGCCAGCGCCGTTTCCAATTGGGCGCGCTGCAGAAACTGCTGCAAATAGGAAAGGCGTGCGATACGCGCATCCTGTCCAATGATCTGCAAATAGTGCTCAAGAGCAGCGCGCCGCGTCTCCAGCTGACTGTTGCTTAAAGGCAGCAGCCGCTTGGGTGGAAATGGTGGCAGGGCGGCGTCTGTGCAACGCCTACGCAGCTGTTCGTGCAGTGCGTGCAGCTGCTTGTAGCGCAGGCAGCAGTGATAGTTGCCATTGATATAGATGTTGTACACCGTGTATGTGGGCGAGCCACCGCTTCCGTCCGCATATTGTTCCTGTGTGTCTGGTATTGAAAAATGCATTTTGTTGTAGTTGTCGCTGTCGCTGGTGTCGTTGTTGTGGAACGCTGCTGCTGCGTTTATTATTTCATTGCGTTTCACTTGTGCGTCATTGACGTCTTTTGCCTTTTGTCGGCTGATTAGTCACTATGTTTTTATTTGTACATGTATTAATTTATTTAATTAAAGAAATTGCGATTGTGAGTTTTTTTCACCTACACGCTAGAGGTGAGCAACTCACTTTGGCACTATCGATTTCTAAGTATATGTTTATCTATCGATATTTAATGCTAGCCCAAGAAACGCTATTGAGATGGGTAAAAATTAAATTATTTTAAAATTTCATACAATTTGAATATTTAAATCCTGACTCACTACAATAATTAAATGTCTGTAAAAATTGGCTGTTCATCCTACATATGTATATTTTTGAATTATTTATAAACATACGAAAGAAGGCCTATCGATAAATTGAGCAGATTCTTAACTAAAACAATCGAGTGGTTCGAATTTAAACTTAGGTCCTTAATGGATTTGCGTTTTAAGCTGGCGCCGGATAAAAATGAATATGGGTTAATTTTAGTTTATGTTTAAAATGTTACACGGGTATTAACACCGCCTCGTCTTTAATAGCAGTTAAGTTTTTCCCAGCTGAATGAGCAGCTGATCCACCAGAAACAGCTGACTGCTATCCCATTAGGCAAAACGTGGACGCCACATAAGCCACACACGTATGTATATGAATATATACAATAACTACGAGTACGCAATATAAATTTATGAATGGAGTTGCCAAAACAAAGGCCACACCATGACATTGGAGCCCTCTTCGCAGACGCGCAGGACTTTGTACGCATCAGTGCTCCCATGGTCAGATACAGTAAGCTAGAATTTAGAAGATTGCTTCGTCAGAATGGAGTGCAATTGGCCTTTACACCTATGATGATTTCCGATTCGGTAAATAACAGCGAAAAGGCTAGGCAAAATGAGTTTACCACTGGCCCGGATGACCAGCCGCTCATCGCACAGTTTGCCGCCAAGGATGCAATGGAATTTGTCACATCTGCGCAGCTCGTTTATCCTTATGTGGATGGTGTCGATCTTAACTGTGGCTGCCCACAAGGTTGGGCCATTTCCAAGGGCTATGGCTGTGGTCTGCTGCGCCAGCCAGAGCAAGTTCGGGATATTGTCCAATGCTTGCGGCGAACGTTGCCAACGGATTTTAGCGTCTCGGTCAAGATGCGTTTGTTGCAAAGCAGCGACAGCCAGACATCATTGCAAAGAACGATCCAGCTGGCACAGCAACTGGAGCACTGTGGTGTCACATTCTTGACGCTGCATGGACGTACGCCGTCACAGAAGCATTCCAAGGACACGCTTAACGTTGCGGCCATGGCAGATGTGTGCCAATCGCTGCAGATTCCGCTAATAGTCAATGGTAATGTGGAAAGCTTTCAAGATGCCTGCGAATTGCATGCCAGGACACATGCAGCGGGCGTTATGGCTGCACGTGGTTTACTCGCCAATCCGGCGCTTTTCAACAGCGACTATCCGCAGGCCACAACGACTCCCAAGGCCTGTGTGCAGCAGTGGCTGGACATCGCCCAGTCGGCTGGTGACCACTTGCAGTTTCAGTGCTTCCATCACCATTTAAGCTTCATGTGTAGCAGCGAAATGAAACGTGCATTGCGTGTCCAGTTCAATAGTCTGAGCAGCAAATCGCAAGTGCTGCAGTTTCTGTCCGAGCACTATGATTTGCGTCCAAATGCCAACAGTTCAGCGCAGCCGGCTACCTACACAAATTGTACGTACTCCCATTTCACACCGCCCAAACATGCCCGGCACCTGGCTGCCGAGGCGGAGGAAAGCTGTTGGAACTCGGAGAGCGATGGAAAATATTTTACTGAGTTTAAAACCCAGCAACAATCCCGCGAGAAGTTGGAGGATCTCGACCTGGGTGGTCTGTTTGCAGACGAAGACTGATGTTTGAAAAATAAATAAGCTAGTAATAAGGTTACTTGTGACATTTACTGTTTTCAAACTAAAGAAACTATTATTTTCAATTGTGCTGTAAATTGTTATTTTCGCCGATTCTAACAGAGTTTCTTAACAGCGCACTGTTAGAGCTTGGTGGCGCACGTTGCCATACAGCGTATGTAAATTTCCATGCTTCCATTTAAGTTTTTTGTACGCTGCAGTTTTCTCCTGCCGTTACTCAACTCCTTAATCTGTTAATGGCTTAAAGATGCTTTACATGCAAATATTGTAACTTGATTTGCTATTTATCGATATTCGATAGTTATTAAAAATTATTGTTACACAAAGAGTTGCTCATCACTAAATACAAAGAAAGAAAGCAAAACAAAGCCACGAAAATGCGTCGCCGGGAACTACAAACTATACAGCTAAAGCTCTCTGAGCTAAAGGAGTATGAACAGGCCAAACTGGAGCGTGCCAAGGCTCGACAGCAGGTGCCATCGCCACGCACTCCCACACCCACCTCGGACAGCGACATCATGTTGCTGCCGTCAAGCAGTGTGCCGACCATTCTTCTGGCCAACAACAGCACCAACGCGGATGATGAGGCTCAGCCAGGTGCCAAGGACAACGCCATATGAAGCAACATACTCAACAGTTTCGCTTAAACTATATGGTAAGTTGGCATTTATAATTAAATACATATATAGTTCACATTTTACATTAGTACTCATTGTTGAGGCTGCTGCCACTGTTATTGTTGTTGTTATTCTGAAAACGCACCGTCTCAAAACCATCGACGAGTATTTCGCGATCTTCGGTTTGCTGGCGCTCGCGCAACCATTGCTCCCGCACTGGCACATAACGCCGCAGTCCCGGCCACTTGGGCCAGCAGCGTCGCTTATAGAGAAGCCAAATCAGCGACAGGGAGCAACCAAACAAAAAGCAAATCACGAATATGCTAACGCCATGTACATGCGAGTGAGTCACCACGTCGTCCTGTTCCTCTGCCGGCTTCTTCATCACAGCATCATTATCGATCTGCGGTTTGTCAGTCGCTTTTGTTGCTGGGATCTTGCTCTGCTCCTTGTTGCACCACGTGACAGGCACATAGCTTGTGATTCCATCACCAGCCAACGAGTGGACGCGTACGGCGCACTCGTTGTAGGTGCCGTTTAATTGGGCTGCATGCACATAGTTCGCCTGGGCATGAGCTCGTCGTGTCAGGCAGCTTAGGTGCGTTTCCGTTACCTGCTCGGACACATTGTTGCGGTAGTGGAGAACGTAGTTGACAATCACCCCGTTCGGCTGTACCGGCTCTGGAAAGCGAATTATGTACTGCGTTGTCTTGGGCACACGGCAAGCGGTCAGTTTCAACACCAGATCCGCGCCCAATGTGAAATTTGTGCGTTCGTTCAGTATCGCTGAGCTACTGCAGCCAAGCGAGTTGCATGCCTGCAATTGCAGCGAGTACAAACGATATCGCTCCAACTTGTGCAGCTCGTACACCGTTGTATTTGCCGCTAGGCGTAACTGCTGCCCAGGCGTTGTCTCTGGGGGCGGACAGTTACCGGGCGCATCCAGGCTGCAGCGATACATGGCGGCCATTTCTTCTATAAAATGCCGATCATCGGCCAGTTCCGCCCGACGCGCACAGCATTCGTCGTAGTCAAATTCTTCTAGCGAGCGCCAACGCGCCCCGTCCATGTCCTGCCACTGATACGCCGGTTGCCGGCAATAGTCGCGCTCATCAATGTAGGCTGCATCGTCGATGAGCTCGTGAACGCGCAACACAAAATAGTCATGCTCCTGACCGCCTAGGCGCAGCGTCAGCATATTGTCCGTTTTCTTGGCAACGGCCAAAGTTGGAGGCTTTGGTATGTCCATTTGGGTTTCCACGTAGATCATATCGCTACGCGCTTCGTGCTGGACATCGCCACCAAACGTGCGCAACAGGCAAGCATAGCGTGTATGCGGCTCCAGTTGCTCCAGTCGATAGCTGTAGTGCGTGCCATTCTCTTGCAGGTCGTCCACAAATAGCAACAGACGCTGCCAATTGATGCGCGTACAGACGGGCGCCTCTAACTCACTCTGTTCCGCATAAATTGTGCCCAGCGGCACTGTCCTGTAAATTAGTTCCAGCTCCACGCTCATCTGCGTTTTTGGCCAGCTAAGCTGCAGCGTACGATGGGAGCGTGCCTGTAAAGGTGTCGGTCATTTAAGTGTCTGTCCGCTTTAGGCAGATAGTGCTCACCTGGACAGACAACTGCATCTTGGCCGGGCCGCAAAGGACTTCCTGATCGCTGGTCTGCAGCGAGTCCAGCACCTTGTCGTGTGTTACGCGCGCCTGGAAGTCCTTCATATGCTTATTGCACAGCTTATTGTTGCGGTGCATAAACATGCCGCCATTAACGAACTCCAGCTGCACCGCCGGCTCCCACAAGTCGGTCAAATGCTTGTTATCATACAATATAAAAGCGTAGTGTCGATTCTCTAGCGGATCGCCGTGTATGCGTTGCAGATTGCTAAGAAACTTCAAACTACTCAGCTGCGAGGAGCTAAACAGTTAAATAGACATTAGATGGAATTATGTGCATGCTGCTTGGGCGGAACACGCACCGGTAGATCTTGAGATGTCCACGTATCTCACGTATACTGCTGAGACTGCGCTCCAGCTGCGCCTCGTCGACTTGGTTGCGTATGGTGATGACGAGGCTGCCGTTGACAATCTGGCAGCCGCGCAGCTCATCCGCATCGGCCAAATTGTATATGGCAATCATGCCATCGGATTGCTCCGCGGAACAGACGCTCACGCATGGCTCCAGCGGATCGCAGCGCACGCACTCCGACCTGGCATTGGCCTTGTGCCCACTCGGGCAGAAGGCGACACACTTACGGCCAAACGTATAGTGGCCATGGTGGAGCACACACTCGTCCCGGGTGTAACAGCGTTGATACTGCTCCAGCACATACCTGCAAACGGACTAACTCTAAGTGGCAATCAACAAGACGCCAAGCCGGCGTGGCTCAGCCGCTCACTCACTTGTCGGGCGGGCAACGCTTCACACAAACTCCGGCATTGGTTAGTCCGCGACAGACAACACAGCCCGCGGCTGTGGAATTGTAGCAGCCACCCAGGCACTCCTCGTGGCAGCTTTGTACGTTTCTGTGCAACAACGGGTGAAATGCAGAAAATAATCAAATCAATTTGTAATTCACAACAAAATGTTTCTCTTAAGGAGCTAGTTTTCTTCTTTAAATGCTGCTTCTAAGTTTAGACAAATATTAGAGTAGTAAAATGAAAGAAAAAAATAGTACGCTTATCTCCCAGCTTTTTTTTTTTTTTAATTTTGGGTCAGGTTTTGAAACCTTGTTCATGGCTTCAAAATTTACCCTGACTGTGCTGATATTACCCATATAGCTGGCTGATTCTTGGCATGTTTTCAAAAAATGTTGGGTTTGGTACAACTCCTTTGACTCAAAGTAAAAATATTGGAGTTCCTAGTTTACAACTTAGTTAAACAATAAGAGAGATAACTAAACCCAATTTCCTTTTTGTACTGCTGCGAATCTTTGCTGCTAAATTTTGTGACTTTTATTTAAATGAAAGAAGCTGACAGCTACAAAAGAGATCCTAATTCGAAAAGCTCTCAAACTAAACTAAGGTCTCAAAACTGTTGTCCAAGTTCCGTAGTTGCTGCTCGACTCTATGAACACAAGTCAGTTATTAAATCGAAAAATGAAATGCATCTGCTCACCGATCATAATGCACCACGTTATCATTCTCGAAGCGCTGGCACGTTAAATTTGACCAGCAATAGTTGGATGCACAGCCCCTGCAGGAGGCGCGTTGTCTCGTGCAGTTGTTGGATCCAAGCACGATGTGATTCTCGCCGGCGCTCAATGTGAGTCGATCCCAGTTGACCTGCAAAGCAACAGCTGAGTGAGCACATCATGTGGCCAATTCACATTACCTACTCCATCCAGTTGGCAGAGCTTGGGGCAGCTGCCGATGTAGACGTGTCCGCGTTGAATGGCCACCAGCGATTTGAATTCCAGCTGAAATTAACAAATGGAAATTAACAAATATGTTTATGCCCTATTCCCGAGCCTTGCCCTTTTGCGAAGCTTTGATTGTTGATTCCAATGATTTGATTTTTATCTTTATATTATATATTTTAATCATGGTTGTGTGCGTGTCCACTTACCAGCTGTAAATCGGGCATGCTGGTCACGCCCAGGGCATAATTAAGGAATAGCCGACGGCCGCGTATCACAGTAAGATTGGGAAACATATGCCGTATGCCAGTCAAGTTGCGCACTTCAGTGAATATCATAAAGTCCGTGATCTCGCGCAATTTGGGAAACGAATACACGCTATAATTGCAATTATGAATGGGCAACAGCGTAATCATCACATAGCCGGTAACCACTGTACAGTTGTCCAATAGACTCATGTTGCTGCAGTTGTTACGTATGTCAATGCTGGTGCATTCCCTGAACTCCTCGGCCGTCGTATTGAGTAGCGCGGAGCCCATGGCCAAGGCGGCGATGGCAGCAAGCACTAGCAACATGTGCCTAGGGATTGGCAACATGTTGCCAAATTTCTGATATTTGTGCGTGCCTATAATTGTTGCTGAGACTGTTGTTCTTGTTGTTGTTGCTGAGACGATTGTTCTTGTTGTTGCTGCTGCTGCTGTTTACTTCGGCGTCTTTTCAACATTGCTCAGCTTTCTGCTCTATCATCAGGTTTGTTTATATGGTGTATTTTACAGTTATTGCACGCTTGCCGTTTCTCTCGCTCCTTAGCACTATATGCCTAATTAGCGCGTTGCGATGGCTCTGCGATCGATCCCCCGAATTCCCGATTAGCCGCAATTTATGAGTTTCATACGCCGATATTTTCCACACTATCTCCAACGTAAATCGCACAAAGGGTTTCAGCTAATTTTTGGTCACTGTTTTTTTTTTTTTTTTTCGCTTAGTTGTCTAAAAATTCGCACAAACAAACACAAACACACACACTAACACAGCTAAAAACAGTTGTTGCAGCTCATCCTCAACAACACGGCGTCGACTTTATTTAAAATGACGTGCTCAAGGGTGAGCCACGAATTGATCTGATTTCATTATTGCTGTACTTTAAGTGCCGAGTCTTTCCGTTGCAAAGGTTGCCACTTTTTTCAGAGTTTAAGTTTTAGTTGGATAAATTTGGAGATGCAACTTATGCTGAATACTGAAGGAATTTTTAAATCACCGAAATCAGAATGAACAAAAAACTTGACAAAAATTTTGAATAAAAATCGTAGCACTAATCAGCCTTAAAAACTTTCAATCCGTAATTTATTATTTATTTATTTATTATATATAATTTATTAAGAAAATCGAGCAAATGGACCTAGACCAATGATTAATAATATTCCCATGCAAGCTTGTATATATAAGAATTACGTTTTATTGATTTCATCTTTATATTTGTATCAACTATTTTTTTTCTTCTCATTTATATTGTTATATATCCTTAGCAAAACATTTCCATAGCCTTAAATATTGCTGATAAGCCGCATTCAATAATGGATAATGCCTTCCCTAGGGTCTCCAGTTGTTTGAGTGCCCTATGGGGCCTAGTTGTCGGAATCTGTAGCACTGCTGCGACTATATGATTATACTAGCGGGTATAACCCGGCCTTGCCCGTGGAGCGTATAATATAAATTTTCTAAAAAAGCTTTTAAAATTGACAAACTTTCATACAAACATTTTCCGCTAATTTACCACTGTTGCGGGTGGAATTTCCCAAAGCGCTGAAACACGTATCTATTAAGTTTCTATGTAGAGCTTTGAAAATAAGTTTGAAACAAATCGGACACCACTTAAAACTTGACCAAAAAAAATCTATTAATTGCACTTTCCACCGTAAAAGCTTTAATTTTGCCAGAAAAGTGAAACGCGTCTCAAATTAACAACTTGAACCCCCATTTTCACCAAGGAGGAATACATTTTTAGAAAAGTCTGAAACACTTCTCAAATTAATTTTAACAAATTTCTTTGAAAATGAGTTTAAGGCCGATCGAAAGGTAAACTTAAAAGTTGCATGCAAACGTTTTTCGCCATTTTTCCACACTTGCGGGTGGAATTTAAAGAAAACACGATAGAACGTGCTATTTACAAAATCGAATATGATGATTTAATTTACTTGTTCAAAGTTTAATACATTACATTATTACATTGATCAAACAATATTGAATTTAACAAAAACTATTAATCCTTTAATCCGGTGGTAAAACACCTTTTCACTTAAATAAACACATATTTGAATAAAATTAATAATTAATTATGTGTCACTTTTTTTTGTTTTCAGATTGTCATCATCACAGGAGGCAGACGATTTTTTGGACACTAATATTTATACCAAAACACGAAGGTTTCCACAGAAGCTTGAAATAGCATTTAAAACATTAGTTATATTTAATTTGGTACGCACTTTATGTTTAAGTTGAAAGAATTCAATTATATTTATTTAAGATTCAGCTCGATCATGACGTTTATTATATTTATAATAAAAGAAACTGTGACTTTCGATTTTCAGTGTAGCGTTGAACAAGTTTCAGAGAGATTTTCGCGTCGATCTCGATGGCTCGACGATCAATTGCCGACTGTTGGCCAGTGGAAGGAAGCCAAAGAGTCTGGGGCTGTCGTGTAGCCCAATGGAACGTAACGATCTGTGCGAGCCATCAAATTGATTATTTATTTAGTGCCTACCCGCCGCAACCCGGGCTACACTGCGCTTCGTGGCTGCGGAATGTGCGCGGCGGGCACTCTTACGGCATTCGAAGGCAGGCCGTAAATTAATTAAAAGCGTTTGATTTGTCGTCGATGTCGATCGTACAATGTTAATTTGTCATCTCTGCAGCTGGGCCAATGGCTCTTACATAATGGCGCACAAATCGAATGTAATTACTGCGAACTAAATTAAAATATTCGCTCAAGGTTATAATTTCTCTCAGTGCACTTGCAGCCTTGCCTTTCCATTTGACCCGGCTGCTGTTCTGTGGCTCTTGTTGCTCCTGCCAAACTGCCAGCTGATTTGCTTGGCTCATAAAAACAGCTGACTCCAATTAGCCACATGGCACCGACATTACGGGACCCACACACACACGCACACACACACACACACGCACACAAATCAAGACTGACAACTCCCATGCATCAAAGCAGCTGAGGCCAAAAGCTATTAACGTTAACGAGAGAGATGAAAGATGGACTTGGGGGAATAAAAAGGGCTTTAAGCAGAAAACTTTTTAAAAGTGCAATAAAAGGATGGAAAAAAAGTTTCGGACATGCATCGGATACTTTTTTTTAAGAGCAAGGAATTTTGAAAATAAATTATAAAAAATAATATTGTTGCCCGTTTAAAAATGCTTAAATTATAGTTTATAGACTTCCTAAAATGATGCATAAATCAAAAATATTTTTTTCATATTTTATAATTGATCATTTTTATCTATGACAGCTATCTAGTTCGAATAGCTCCCAACCGGACAATTCCGGATATAATTGATTGAACATTGGCTTACTCTTGGAATGTAGACAAATATAGTTTTGGAAGTCGTTCTTTGGTTTTTTTTTATAAACATGTACAATTAAATTCCGTAAAAGTTCATTCAATTTCCGAAAATATATAAATAACAAGTAAGAGGTTCTAGTCGGGAGCTAACGACTAGGGAATACCCTGAACCTGCTTACTCCAACTCAAACTCGCGACAGACCATAACCGATCTCAATGAAATTTTCTACAGTATATCTTATTGTACCATAGAATATTTGTGTATTCTCAAAAACTAAATTGCATTAAAATTGTGGCTTAAATTGGTTGGCAATATAAGTTGGGTTATTAACTTGATACTTGATATATATATAAAAGTATAGAAGCAACATATCCGGTTTGGTGACTCTAGCTCTTAATATTTACCAAAATTGATAAGAAAAATAAAGGATGTCGATAACGATTCTTATCGAACGGAGTAAGTTATCGATTATCGAAAACAAACTCGATCTGCGCAGGACATACATATACAATTTCATGTCTCCAGGCTCTGAGATCCTTGCGCTCATATGGACGGACGGACGAACAGACGGACACGGCTAGATCGACTCGGCTATTGATGCTGATCAAGAATATATATACTTTATGGAGATGCTACCTTCTGGCTGTTACATACATTTGCATTTTGCACAAATAAAATTGTTAATGGGTTCAGGGTATAAAAATGTTGTGTGCTGTTTTCTCGGCAACGTATTATTATTTTTTCCAAATGAGAACTTTATGTTTGGAGGCCCCGTTTCTCGTGTCAAAGAGATCAATTAATTCAATTAAATTATTTGTGTGCGTGTAGGGTATATATGGCCCGACGCATATGAACCCATCTCCATCAATTTACATAAAATGAGCACGCTCTCGTTTAAATAGCAGAAAAATAGTTTAGGTTGCCTTGCGAAATCAAACATATACCAATTCGACATACATATAGAAATACCATATATTGATGTACACTTAAGTTGTAAGCTTAGGTTAGGCAAATGTGTTGGACGAGCAGGATGCTGTTCTATTCCGGTGGCGTGTTGTCATGTATCCATTCCTGGAAGTAGACCAAGCTTGTGTAGACGCTGGGTATGCGTAGCCCGCCGCAGTTGTCGGAGCCAAAGGACATGATGCCGATCTGCAACGATGGGGCGAAATGATAGAATCAACTAAGAGTTCATCAGTGGATCAATACCTGTGAGAAGATGCCGTTCTCCTGGATGAACAATGGCGCACCGCCAAAGCCTTGGCACACATCCTTGCCCTCGCCGCCGGCGCACATCCATTGGCCCTCAATTGAATTGGGCGATTCGAGTGCGCCCGTCGAGCCATAGTTGCGCAGGCACAGATCCCAGCTGGTCAACGGTACGTCGAGATGCGACATCTCCGGCTGCCGTATGCTCGACGTGGACATCTTGCCCCAGCCGGCAATTGTCGCCCGCTTGCCCACCACCAAATTGGCGCGTGTCTTCTGCAAACAGATCGGCTGCGTGGCCACTGCAGCCGCAGGCAGCAAGAGAATAAGAAATCAAATTGGTTCAGTTCACAAGCCGCAGCAGACACGTATCGGCCATTAAAGGAAAAGGAGGCTGGTCTTCGGCTCGCAACGTTGTTGCATCCACCGCCCCGGCCTTATTGATTGATCTCACGCTCACGTACGCCTATAAAATATTATAAAGCCATAAAGCCACCTGCAAACAAGCTGGCCAACAATTAAGGTAACGCCTCCCGTTGGCTGTTTACGAGTTGCCTCGCTCCAGGCCCCCTATTTGCTCAGATTGCAATGATATTGACGCTTTAAGATTCAATTTCAATTTATGATTTTAACGAAAACATCTGAAGGCTGTGCATTCCTTTCGCAGACACACACACACACACACACAAGGAGCTCGAACGTGGACGCAAAACAAGTATATCAAATCACAGCTATCAAAACGTTAATTATATGTTAAAAAACTTCAGGGCGAGGGTCGCAGATCATAGGGGCATTATAATAAGAAAACATGCAATTATATAAACATAATCATTTTTTTAGAAATCAATTAATGTTTTCATAAACTTGGTATTCGTCATGAAATTTCAATAGGATCAGAATAAAAATGTTCAATAAAAATAATTCATAGATAATTATAATATTGAAAAATGATCTATTCACTTTGTTTTTAGATATTATAGTTTTTGTATTCATAAAGTTTTTTATGGCATATTCAAATTTAAAATTCTTTTACAGAACTGTCTTTAAACATTTCTGGACTTTAGACATTTCGAAATCAGAATTTTAAGCAGAGAAGACCTAACCTCAAATTCAATCCGAAGTCCAAGCCTATTGAAGTGTGTCTAAAATCGAAAACTAATATTGGATAGATGCGCGTTTGGCTTATTACTTGCTACACTAAGCACACACCAGAGCTTGTCGCTGGCCAATTAAGTTAGCCCCGAAACCCAGCCCCTGCCCGGACCGGGGAATGAAGCCCAAATTAGCGAACATGCAATATAAGAGACGTAGTTGACATTATTGAACTTGGCTGCGAGTGCGAGTCAAAAATATCACAGAGCAAAACGATTTTTAATTAACGTTGACACTGCGAAGCGTAACCAGCCCCCACTTCGAGTACCCGGCGCTGCCCCGTTCCCCGCTTACCCGAGTAATTGAGCGGTGTTTTGAGCACCAGCAGCGCAATGTCATGATGATATTGGCCTTGCTTATAGTCTGGATGCACAATCACATGGCTGATGGCATGATTCACAGACCGTGGTGCACAGAAGCCAGTGCTGGCGCAGTCCGGATCACTGGAGGTGTCATATTCACCAACGCGCACCGATGAGCTGCAGGCGAAAGTTTAGATGCAACGCAATAAATACATACATATATGGACACAAGCATAACGATTGGCATACTTACAGCCGGTGGCCATCGGCCTTGGCCAGCGCACAATGGGCGGCGGTCAGGATTACGCGCCGGGCAATGATCGAACCAGCACACGGATAGGCAAAGGCGCCGGTGCTTATGTCTGTAACGGGTGACTTAAGGATCGCCGATCTGTATCAATTATTTGTTTGATCTTCACTTACGCTTAAAGCCGACGCGAGCCACAAAAGGATACGAGCCGAGTCCCTTGTAAAAATGGCCCTGCACAAGCGACTTGCCGCACACCTGATTCTTCTCCAGCGGACTGCTCGGACAGCATACGTAGGGCATCTCCTCGCCGCCGCCGCAATAAAGCGACTTATCACCGTAATAACAGTTTTTCGCCACCTCGTAGATCATAGCCGTGCAGTCGTGCAGCGGCGTACACTCGGTGCCAAAGGAGCACTCCGTATTCGAGCCCTGGCCCCCAACATAGGAGCGAGCGGCCACCGAGTGGGAGCCACTCGAATTACCATGGGACACCTTTGCGAAGGACGCTGGAATAACTAATTTTTCTGTAGAGCATTCAAAATGTTTTGTCAGCATTAATTTGTTAAGTCTATTTGGGGTTTTGAAGAGCAATTATTCTCATGATATCTATCTAATGTTATTCCCAATAAAGAAATATATATATATATTAAAAAAGCTTTTAAGGATTTAAGTCTATTTGGATAACTATAATATAATATCCAAGAACTATATTATATAGTAAAAGCATCTTAAAGACTTTTTTATAAATCTTTTCCCTTATAATTTAGATATATATCGTCATCAAATATATATACTATTGAGTTTATCAGGGAACACTAGTATTAAGGGCAAATCAATTGCTTATTTTTTTATTTGAAATTAGTTACACAGGACCTCTAGAGTGGTAAATAATCCAAATTACATTTCCTTGGATCGAACGAAAGTATAAAGAAAAAACCTACCAAATTCACCGGCTTCTGTTCGGATGAGAGCAAATATATTATAAAATATGAATAATCGGTAAAGCGATCGCATTGCTATTTGCCTGGGGCAAAACACTTGTGCGCGATTCAAAATTAAAAATATTGTATATGGTATATCACAATAAAATAGAGCTCTTGTCGTAACTCCCGTTTCAGGTAAAGTTCTATTAGTTTCGATCCGTGCGCGTTCACACAACTTTTTCGACTAAAAGCACAAAATGTTGGATCTGGCCAGTAAAGATCGCGCCGCCAAATGAAAATGAAATTTTTATGGCCAGTTAGGGGGGTGGAGGGGGGGGGGGCTACTGCCGGTTGTTAGTAACTGATTTTTATGACAGTTTGGTCTCAATTCGCGACCATTTCCAGGTTGTCGTTGTGCTTATTTATATGTAGATAGTTTCTATGACGGCGATACCCGGGCACGCTCTGTGCTTAAAATATGTGTGATATGTGGATCATATGTGCGCTCATTAGTTAGTTAGATGCAGTTTTTATTGTTTTGCCACACACAATAGAAATGTGGTTGGCACTAACATATATATGGACATATATATATATATGTTGCTATAGATAGACAAGGCGGGGCATACGAAGCAAATGATGCGGCGCTTAGTTGCACTTTTTTCTTGCAATTGTAAATAATTTGTAAACTATAATTATTTAAAAGTCATTCAACATTTGTAAATTAATTTCTCAGTAGTTTATGCGCGGTACGCAACTTTTAGATTCAACTTGAAATAAATAGCTACAAAATCTGAAGTACAAATATATTAAAGTTATATTTAAAGAAAAAGTAATGTTAATATATTTAGAGATATAAAGACTAATTGAACATTTTTAAATAATTGCCAACTGGCCAAAAAAAATGGTTAATAATAATATACGAGTTTTGACTGTTGACCAACTAGAACTAAGCTATGGGAACAGTAAGATCTAAAATATATAGCTTTTTTTTAATATTAATACAGCTTGCGCTTTTCAGTTTTATTTTTTTTTACATATTTTTTATTAGACTGAAAATTTTAAATTGAAGTACAAATATATTAAAGTTATATTTAAAGAATAAGTAATGTTAATATATTTAGAGATATAAAGACTAATTGAACATTTTTAAATAATTGCCAACTGGCAAAAAAAAATGGTTAATAATAATATACGAGTTTTGACTGTTGACCAACTAGAACTAAGCTATGGGAACAGTAAGATCTAAAATATATAGCTTTTTTTTTTAATATTAATACAGCTTGCGCTTTTCAGTTTTATTTTTTTTTACATATTTTTTATTAGACTGAAAATTTTAAATTGAAGTACAAATATATTAAAGTTATATTTAAAGAAAAAGTAATGTTAATATATTTAGAGATATAAAGACTAATTGAACATTTTTAAATAATTGCCAACTGGCAAAAAAAAATGGTTAATAATAATATACGAGTTTTGACTGTTGACCAACTAGAACTAAGCTATGGGAACAGTAAGATCTAAAATATGTAGCTTTTTTTTTAATATTAATACAGCTTGCGCTTTTCAGTTTTATTTTTTTTTTACATATTTTTTATTAGACTGGAAATTTTAAATTGTAATTAAAAGAAAAACTTTTGGATTGTAGCGCACATTTCACTTCCAGTCAGCCGAAACTTTCTTCGGGCTGCGAGTGTGCTGTTATTTAAGTTAATTTTACTTCTTTTTTGTTTTTTGTTTTTGTTTTTTAATTATAATAAACATATTATGAACGAGATAATTTTGATTTGATAAGCGGCCGACTGACCAGAGAGACGGTTCCACTTTTTTAAGCATGAAAACAAGCGCGACATTAAACGCACATTAAAATGTTTTATTGCACAAACAACAACAAATGCACGTCAATATATGTGTGTATGTGTGTATATAGGTGTGCGCGTGTGTGTGTGTGTGTGTTGAATGGAGATTACACTAATGTATGTATGTGCATTAACAAATGCTTGTACTAAGCCAATTTGTTTTCATTTTTGGTTGTATTTAATGTTGAATTTTACTTTCATTGCGATTAACATCATTTAACGCGCTTTTACAAAAAAAAAGAAAAAAAAGAAAAACGAACAACTGCTGGAAATGATTTACACTTTACTATGGACACGTTTATTACACATTGCGTTAAGTGTACGTCACTCAGTTTGTTTCATCGCCGCTGTCCAGCAATGGGTCATCTTCCTTGAGGTCCTTGTCCTGGGCTGCTCCACTGCCGCCACCCAGCTGGGCCAGGGCACTGCGCACCGCGTCCTCGTAGTAATCACAGCGGGCGGACAAGTTGGAGCTACAACTCACGCTGGACACAATGCTCGATAGGCTGGCGCTCGACTCGCTGGCATTGTTCTCCATAGAGGTGCTGCTCTGCGCACCGGATAATTGCCGTCGTCGCTGGCGCTGCTGCTGCAGTGCATCATACACGTAGTCATAGTCGTAGTTGCCCTCGGGCCTAGCATGGAGCGGGGTGGGAAAGTTGTGCAGCACCTGGCGGAATACCTCATAGCGATCACGTAACTGAGCGTCCACCTCCTCGCTGCATCGCTCCTCCGACTGCAGGGAGTGCAGAACCGAGTACATGAACACGCGATTGGCAATGTGGCAGTCGGGCAAGAGGCTACGCTCCACACCCTGATTGGGACACATGCCGATGACCGGTTGGTGCCAGACACAAATAACGTGGGCGGGGCCTGAATATGAATGCAATAACGCCTTTCTTTTGCGGACAGCTAACTATTTTTTACAAAAAAAAAAAAAAAAACGAAAACAAAGACTTCAATTTAAAACGAGCGGTTAATTTTTCATATACATATATTAACTAAATCAACACACGAAATAAACTGGGACAGCTTTTTTACAAATATTACATAATTAATTCGAATTCTAAAGCATAAAACAATGCCAACTAAAGCGCATAACTTACAAAAAAAAAAAATAATAATAACAGTAAATACAATAAATAAAGGCGGAAGTGTAAACATTTTTGTACCGTGCGCCAATATCCAAGAGTATTTAGTTTTAATTGACGGAATATAATACAAAACAAGTAAGAGGTTCTAGCCGGGAGCACCCGACTAGGGGATACCCTAAACCCTCCTCTTCCAACATCAAATGCATATATATATATATGTTGTTGTAAAAAATTCACTAGATATATTTTCCTTCTCTTCTATCTCAGAGTTGGGTGCGTACCCTTCTTGTATCTCTCTCGCGTCCTCATCTTCGTAATAAGTCCCATTGATATGCCTTCAGATCTGTACATTTGTGCAAATTTTATATATGCCATTAAGCCCGAAGTACAGTTGAACGGCATAATGGACAATAACCGTGCTTAAACTGCCATAAAATTGTCGAAATAAGTGAAATTAAACAGCGTATCCGCATTTTCTAGTACTTAGTTGTATTATACTTTATTGAAATACAAAATGTAATCGAATGTTTTGGCATTTAGGTATAAATGGAATATTAATAATGAATATTCAATTGTAACAGAAAAATGAATACGCAATACGTGCGTGATTAACGCCAGCAAGGACACACGTAATATTGATCATAAATAACTATTACAAACAATGACAATGGGGCATAATTTTGAAACGATGGGAATAGAAAAAAATAAATTCAATTGAATAAAACAATATGTATATATGCATGTAATTATGCATGTATTGATGCTTAAACATTTAAAAAGACAGTTATGGGACAATGATCGCTGCCCAAGCAATGGCTGCGCATCACATTGTCCACGATGCGCGATACGAAACGCTCCGATACAATGCAGTAATCCAAACGCCAGCCAACGTTTCGGGCACGCGCATTGGACATGTAGGTCCAGAAGGTGTACGCACCGGTGCGATCCGGGTACAAATGCCTGTAGGTATCCACATAGCCAAGGGCCAGCAAATCAGTCATCTTTTCACGCTCCTCCTTGGTGAATCCAGCGTTACGTGTGTTATTTTTGGGATTGGCCAAATCAATCTCTGCATGCGAAACATTCATGTCGCCACAAATGACAACGGGCTTCAGTGCATCCAATTTTTGTACATACGCCTGGAAGAGTTGCTCCCAGCGCATGCGCATCTCCAAGTTAACCAGCTTGCGACCCGAATTCGGTACATACACATTGATCAAATAAAATTTCTCATACTCGGCGGTGATCATCCGTCCTACATCATCAAACTCCTGATTGCCAATGCCATATTCAACATTTATTGGCATTATCTTACTGTAGATGGCCACGCCCGCATAACCGCCGGGCTTGCACAGCCAGTATGGATGGTATCCGGGCAGACGAGTCATCTCGTCGGGCAGCTGATCGTTGACGCATTTCGTTTCCTTCAAGTGAGTTGATATATTTGGTAAAGTTTTTTTTTTTACATATAACATTTTTGTATTCTAATACCTGTAAGCAAAATATATCAGGCTCTTCAAAGTCCACAAACTTTAGACCATCTTTCTTCAACCAGGCGCGCAAACCAGCCACATTCCAGCTAGAGATTTTCAAGTTGAATGGCTTGTCCGTTGGCGACGTGAATAGACTTTTTTCATAGATTCCAGCAGCCGCTGTCTCCACCTTTTGTGTTGCTTGCTTTTTGGCCTTGGACGCTGGAAAACAAAAGTTGAGCACATTTTGCAAACTTTTCAATACCGCACCGCCACAGCCGGGCTCCATCAACGTACTTCTTGAGCCGTCAGCTGCGTCGACTGAAATGGCATTCGCATTCTCTTCGGCGCCTGCAGCTGGTCGTTTTCGGCCGCGTGCTGCAAAATAAAAACGACTATCTGGAAGCTTGCTAGAATATGCCAATTTTTTTTATTTACCTGGTTTGCTCTCTGGCACTTTAAGTTCCTCCAGTTCTATATCATCGTTGACTTTCTTTTGCGTGCGCTTTTTGCTGGGGGCTGGCACATCCACACTTGGCAGATCCTGCTGTGGCTCATTAGTGGCAGCTTTCCTGCCGCGCTTTTTGGCCGGAGCCTCAACATTTGCTTGCTTGGTGCGCTTCTTGTTTGCTAGCTGTGTTTCCGTTTCCGGTTCTGGTTCTGGCTCTGGATCCTCCTCTGCCTCTAGCACCTCGGCGATTTCTGTGTCTGCCAAACGCTTCGTACCGCGTGCACGTTTTGTTGTTGCTGTTTTTATTGTTGATTCTTCAGCTGCGACCGTATCGGCCTTTTTAGCCCTGCCCTTGGTCCCAGGCGCAGTCAATTTCTTTTTAGCGCGTCCCTTTACTGGCTCGGCTTGTTCGACTGACTCGGTAACAGTTTTTTTCTCTGGCTCCTTTTTGCGTCCGCGCGCGATTGAGTCTGCCTCCTTGGTCGGTGCGACAGCGACAGCGGCCTCCTCGTTTAGGGATGTTTTTTCTTTCTTGGCGCGTCCTTTAGTTACTTCAGGCTCTTCCGGTGCTGAGAGTTTCTCTTTCTTGGAGCGTGGCTTTGTTGCTTTAGTTTTGGGCTCGTCACTGACTTCTGTAGCCAATTTCTTGGCGCGACCTCTAGGCTTAGGCGCCTCTGTGTCTTCCACAATGACATCTACCTTTTCGGCGGGCTTTCTTCTGGCCCGCCCCGCCGACTTTTTTGCAACAACTTCAACTTTCTGTGCATCATCATTTACTTCTGCAGCAGCCGTAGCAGCTGTCATTTTCTTTCCGCGCGCTTTGCTTTTGGCAGCCGGTTTAGTATCATCTGCGACATTAGTAGCCCCCTCTTCTGTTACAGTCGAGGATGAAGCATCATTGCCATTTGTTACAGCCAATTCCGACGATGTTTTTTTTTTTGCAACTTTTGCGCGAAGCATATTTAAACAATTCTTTTATTGTACTCGACAAGACTGTTGTTGTTGTCGTTTGTTTATTTTGATCACGAAATTTCCAATAATGCTTATCGCTTTCTGCTTACTTTTAAAATGCGGCCAATGCCAAAAACAACCGACCATTAGCTCTGCGCGGGCAATGGCAATGCCATCCCAAGCCGGCACATTTTTTAGCCCGCGTGAAGTTGGCAGCAAAAACATCGAAATTACCGATTGCAGATTTTGAAGAAATAATTTACTTCTAAATAGGGTTTGTTTGCTTAAGTTTGCTTGAAAAATGTGATTTTCCATGATGGAATATTTTTTTGTAAAACAATTATTCTGTCAAGTAAAAATATATTTAAAAACAATAAAAAATAAATAATAACCATTGTGATCTGCATACTAGTCCTTACGAAAGAAGATATCGATACATACACAAAATGAATTTGGAGTCACTGCACGCCAACTATCGATACATCGATTGTGTCATCGATTGTTTTTTCAGCACTACCCGCTGCATCTTTTATTTAAGTTTTTTCCAATAAATAATTAGTTTTGGCAACAATTTTAAGTGTTTTTGGTGTAATGAGCATATAAATTTAAGTGCGCTAAGCAGCATTAAACAACAAAGCGCAAAAGTCAGCTCAAATTATTAAGTGGATTCGCATCAGCAGTCATCGTCGAAACCTCATCTCGCAAAAATGCCAAGCGAAATAATTACGCTGCAGCTGGGGCAATGCGGCAATCAAAGTGGGTACAATTTATAGATTGTTGCGGTCTTTTGTAATTTGTGACATCATATAACATTTTTTAGTTGGCTTTGAGTTTTGGAAGCGGCTCTGCTTAGAACATGGAATCTCACCGAGCGGCGTTCTAGAAGAATTTGCCACCGATGGCATGGATAGAAAGGATGTTTTCTTCTATCAGGCGGATGATGATCATTATATACCGCGGGCCGTGTTGCTGGACTTAGAGCCGCGCGTTATTAACACCATTATGACATCTGCTTATTCCAAGGTAAGTAGTTGTAGCTGAAAAGCTTCATTAAGTTACAAAGAAGAAAAAAATAATTCTGTTTTTGGTTAGCTGTACAATCCTGAGAACGTATACTTGTCTAAACATGGCGGCGGTGCCGGCAACAACTGGGCTTCTGGCTATAGCCAGGGCGATAAATTGCAGGAGGAAATCTTTGATATAATCGATCGTGAGGCAGATGGAAGCGATTCGCTTGAAGGTTTTGTGCTATGTCATTCGATAGCAGGTGGCACTGGGTCGGGAATGGGATCATTTCTTATGGAACGCCTGGCAGATCGTTATCCCAAAAAACTTATCCAAACTTACAGCGTGTTTCCAAATCAAGATGAAATAAGCGACGTTGTCGTACAACCCTACAACTCGATGCTCACGCTACGCCGACTGACCACTGCTGCTGATAGTGTTGTCGTCCTGGACAATACGGCTCTCAATCGCATTGCCTGCGATCGTTTGCACATACAAAACCCAACCTTTACACAGATTAATACTCTAGTCTCAACCATAATGAGTGTTAGCACAACAACTCTGCGCTATCCATCCTATATGAACAATAATCTTATTGGCCTGACGGCGCCATTAATTCCAACACCACAACTGCACTTTCTGATGACAGGCTACACACCGCTGACCAGTGATGCTAATCTGAGCAATCATGTAAGTATTACTTCCAGACAGTTAAAAATTAACCGGACGTCAGTCTTCCTTCGCTGTAGATCAGAGTTTGTTAATTAATTACTTTTAGCATAATCCATTGTCTTCGCACCAGGCCGTTAACGTGCGGAAGACCACCGTGTTGGATGTTATGCGGCGTCTGCTGCAGCCAAAGAACATGATGGTGTCCACGGGCCCGGACAAAACTAATCATCACTGCTACATATCAATACTAAACATCATACAGGGCGAGGTGGATCCCACACAGGTGCACAAATCGCTTCAGCGTATACGAGAGCGCAAATTAGCGCAGTTTATACCGTGGGGGCCAACTTCTATACAGGTGGCATTATCGCGATCCTCGCCCTACGTGCAAAGCAGCCACCGAGTTTCGGGCTTGATGCTGGCCAATCACACGAGCATTTGCTCATTGTTTGAGCGCACTTTAAATCAGTATGACAAGCTGCGAAAACGTGGCGCTTTTCTGGATCAATTCAGACGCGAGGACATCTTTAAGGATGATTTGAATGAATTGGACGAGTCCAGAGAGATCGTAGACGGCCTCGTTCAAGAATATGAGGCGGCAACACGCACGGACTATTTACAGTTTTCGGCAAATAGGCGTGGTGCCAAAGCTGAAGGAGCAGGCGATACTAAATCAGAAGATACCAAGTCGTTAAACAGCGCAGATCTTTGAGTCATAAACCCTTGTGCCACATATGTGCCATGGTCAAGAAACCAAGTATTCTAAACTTGCTCGAATATACATACATGTGTGTGTGTTTTAATTATTTATTAATAATTGACACGCAAGGATTCTAAATCCTTCAAGTATTTATACAGCATAAATTGTTTTAAGTATCTAATATGTTCGTGTGTATTTCTGTTAATAAGTACACTGTCTGTATTTAACAGTATGACTTTTTATGTTTGCACATTTTTTCATTTCTTGCTAACTAAAATGTTAAAACAATGCTCTAATAAAGTTAGTTGCAGTTAAAAACTTCCGATTGCTCTTGTCTTTGTTTTGATTGAAATAACAGTTGGCAAAAGCTAATTAAAGAATTGCCGGATACGGCAAAAATTATCAGCAGGATAATGGAATGATAAGCAAACTACGAACAAGCTTTTCAATAAATCAAATTGTATACGGCCGTTTCTTTCAAATTTGTTGAGAAGGAATTCTGTTTAGCAGGTGTGGTGGCTCGTCGATATATTACTGTGTTTACATTTAACGTGTGAATGATTGGCTCTTCTTAATTTTATTTTACAAATATATTGTAAAATAAATTAATTCGTTGCGCACCAAAGATCATTACCTGGTTTCATTGTATACTTTTTGAGGGGCAAGGATCAAGTAAGTTTTCAAAATTAAATATGTTTGCGCTGTTAATAACATTACGAAAAATGTTATTGGGCTTGTATATTTTTTTATATTTGGAATGTTGCTGCACTTCAATTGTTGATATAAAAATGTTTATTTAAGCACCAGTCGAATGGCGCCAAATACACCTGTTGCTGAGGTAGAAAATGGAGAAAAAGCACAAATCTCTACCTTCGCCGTGCTGGACTTGGAAACATCGAATTTGCCTGCATTTAACAATAATCGGGTTAGCATCACCGAACTATGCATCTACGCCTTTGATCCTGCAGTCTTAAAGGACAACGTGGAAACAGAGGAGGCGACGCCACTTGACGAGTTGACGCCAGCCTCACCTAATGCTCTACCCCCTCCGCCGAGGGTGCTGCACAAGTTGAACTTACTTTTCCAGCCGTCAATGACTGTACACCCAGGCGCCGAGAGAATCACAGGTTTGAGTTGTGCATGAGTCATGCCTGGAATTAAAATATATTATCTCATTCCCATGACAGGCTTGAACAATTATATTTTGGAACGCGAATCGAAGCTGGACGAGAACGCGGGACAAATTATATTGAGATTTTTGGAGCATTTACGCCCACCTGTTTGTCTTATAGCACATAATGGCTGGGCATTCGATTTTCCAATAATAAAGCAAGCGCTTGACAAACTGAATATCAATTTGCCAGCATCTACGCTGTGCGTGGATTCGTTGCGTGCCTTTATGGAAATCGACGATAAGCGAAGCGATGAAATAGTTGTGGAAAACGTTTTGGCGACCGACATCAAGCTTGAACCGGAAACTTCATGCGAGCCACCCGCCAAAGTAGTCGACTGGCAGAAGGTGAACGAAACGACACCGAAGCGTCCAATCCTGAAGGGTGCGGCAGCAACTCGTAAACGCCAGCTGTTGAACGATGACACTTGCAATAATGATATAGAAGCTGCCAAACGAGCACCCCGAGATATAAGTGCCCGCCGCCAATTGTTTGCTGGCTTGAAATGTGCTCAAACCAAGCGAATTCCACCCCGCGGACGCTATGGATTAGCCCGACTGTTCGAACGCACATTTGAGAAATCTGCAGCAAATGCTCACCAAGCCGAGGCGGATGTCATTATGCTCACAAAGCTTATCCAATGCTACAGTGTGGACTTCCTAGCCTTTGCTGAGGAGCAAGCCATTCCGTTCGCCAATGTCGTACCAATTGGTGGCAAGACGCCTAGTTCTTAGTTTTGTATTTAACAGTTTTGCATGATAGTCTTAACGGTTGACGGTTTTAAATAGCAAAAATTGTAAATGTAATTTTTAAAGTGCTATATATTTTTATACTTGAACATTTTGTTGAGATCATAAACATGTCTTCTAGTTGAATTATAATAATAAAAGTGTATTTTATAAATTTTAAGCTTGCCGGAGTTTTTGAGTATTCCATTTCGTTTTAATATGCATGGTCACACTAGGATAGATATTGTGAATGGATCTAGGTAGATATTTGTAGTGTTATTAACTTTTACAACTTTTAAAAATTGAAAAAATAAATTCAGTATAAAAATGTACTAATGGATCGTTTCTTATTCAAGATTTTTGCATTTGTGCATTCTGGTTTTTGCTGCCAGGCACACTGACTAAATACTCTGAGAAAATAAAACTCAAACGCAAGCAATTGTTATTAAATATTTAATCAGGTCGTATTCAGGACAAAGTACAAATTTATCGATATTTATTCACTGTGTGCTCGAAATGGCGTACAGTCACAGTTATTTGTTGGCAACTCGATAACTGTCGGGTCACTGCTTCCAGTCAGCTGTTCCCAAACAAAGAATCAGAACAATTTACGTTGCAAAAAACAGCACACAAAAAGTAACAAAGATCAAAATACAAGTGTGCGCATTAAGACATTAAACCGAAGTACGCTTAATTTTTTGATAGTTACGGCACTTGACAAAGCGCACAATAATAAAAGGAAGTGAACTATGAACTTGTCCTTCGCTGGCTGCGGCTTTCTGGGCATTTACCATGTCGGTGTGGCCGTGTGCTTTAAAAACTATGCGCCACATTTATTGCTGGAGAAAATCGGAGGGGCATCGGCTGGCTCTTTAGCCGCGTGTTGTCTGCTTTGCGATTTGCCATTGGGC